GGGTCACTATATTCCAATCTACTTACAAAAGAACATTAATCAATGTTGAATTATTACAAGCAGTCTCGTAAACATAATTTCTGCGTAGTTGTAATGACGTAAGCATGAACTTAACACCTAAGTCTCCCAGTATGTTCTAATTTAAGTATGAAGTATTCAAAGGCTGTAATAACGAAGCTTAGTGCTCCACTCACTTGAATTATAGCTAGGTCTGAACTTTAGCTTGAATAACGGTTAGGTGAATATGTTTTACCGGCCTCAGTAGCTGTACAGTTTCCCGCAAGTTTCGTGCCTTCTCCTCAAAAGCTTTTAAAGTAATTTTTATGAGTTTTCGCAATTTATATACAGAGTTATAGTATAAATATGTTGATCATCTAATATGTTGCTTTTTTAAACGACTTCAAAAAAAGAGGAGGTTTCAATTCAGCAGTATTTTTTTTATGTTTGTTACTACAGAACTCCGTCATTTGTGAAACGATTTGGAATATTTTATTGTTTAAATTAGGAATTAAGGGAAAAAGATGCAGTTTGTTATGATTCACCATGATGTAGTCAGTTTGAAGTCGGTGGTGCTATTCGAGTCCATATTTCTCTTTGAATCTCATCCAGTACACTATGATGTGTATCCAGTCTTATAAAAACATTTGGCTTAGTCAAAGTAACTAACAAAAATGCTAGACATGTATACCCAATGTTCATACAAAATCCTATGTGAAACGAACTTTAAGGTATTGGAAATCCACTACGTTATATCCAACACGACAGACGAAAAGTGCGTTGCAAAACAATGTTGAAAGCTTAGGATTACGTGTTTTCCTTCAACTTTTGTTTTAAGGGAGTTCTTTGTGAGGCCCTTATCCTCTCCGAGAATTATTTAAGTTGAGGGAGTATGTTTATTTGATTACTTGCATATAACTCATGGATAACATGAATTCCATTTCACTCTCATGAAGTTATTGATAAATGATGATAGTGATTAAAGTATGGCCATAGAGCAATTATTATACTATGTGGTTAGTGTGATTTATGTATCGTGTAGTGACGAATTAAGAATACGGAGTATTACCACCCCTATTCATGCCGTGGGTGTCGCAAGAGCTGACTAAGAGAGCAAACTACGCAGGACAACAGCACTGCAAAGAGAAGGGAAACTTGAAACAAACCCTATACCGTCTGGCCAGAATAGTATGGTAGGCCAAAACCTCCTTCATAAGGAGAGGCCTATGTCTAGCAATAGACTGTTGTGGTGTTATGGTTAGTGGTTGCAACTACTAAGAATACGGACAAAACTTTCATAATTTTCTCGAACACGTATATCATCGGTGATGACGAAAATATTACGACTCTGTCTTGACGAAATCTGCAAACACCGAATCAATGCTTACATATGTATTGTTTAGTATTATTTGTTATTACTTTAGAGAATCAATGGGATAAAAATCAATCTATGAATATGAAAATGAGTCAAGCTCAAAAGTGTCATAGCTTCTACTGTAGCTTTATTATTTGTATATTTAAGAACTAACAGTTTGACGTGTGAGATGAGTGACAACTAGAGATATATCGGCAAAAATATCAAATGTGCTTTTTGTGCAAAAAAAAGGTGTTGTAGTACTGTGGGTTCTAGATTTCCCATTAGAACATCCCTGTTCACTTCTACAGTAATTTTAGCAACAATCTGACCATAGCATTGTCTTAGTAGTATTTATTGGCATTTAAGTTCAAATTATATTATTGATAATGTCAATACATATCAATATTTATTTTTAAAATAGTAAAAATATTGACCAAAAGAAGCCTAAATTATGAACAAATCTCGAAATCTATCTAGGTTGCGAGCGTAATTGAAATTTTCATAGGATCGTTTATATAATGACGCAATTGTGATAGATTTTCGACACAAACGCAAAACAGAGGATTATATTACAATTGGGATAACATAATTTATAAATTAACAAGCTATTTGTAAACCAAATCATGCCCTCGCTCATACAAAAAAAAAAGGTGTAATACAAATTATTTTATCAACTCTTCGTTTACAGACTTTGTTCTTCAAACGTGACATTTTTAAGAAGTAAGTGACATTTAATAATTGGTTTAATGTTAACTTGAGCGGAGGCTTTCTAGCGAAGCCTGGAGCCCTTTTTATGCAAATGTTGAAGGATGTGCCGGGCGTTTTAATGAAACAGCGCAATTAGTTTGATGAATACTGCACTCGTGATGAGCTCGCCCTCACGAGAATAGGGGAAGACTAAATCTAAATGAAATGCCAGGTATCTATATTGATTTAAATTAGAGAAACAGGGAACCATTTTAACAGAGTGTGAGTTTAACCAGGAATTATAATTAATTACAAAACTTTGATTAAGTTCATGCTTTTATTATTTAATAAAAATACTATTTTAATTAAAAACAAATATATTGAAGAACTTAAAACTTATGTAATATTTATCCAAAAAAGTAAATCAAAATACAGTTAGTATGTTTAACTTTAAATAGTGCGTGTCTGGCCACACAAAGCGTTTAGTTTATCATTATTAGTAAAAATGAGCTAACTTAGCTGTGATAACTTTAGTTTTTTTTTTTATTTACTATGCTGCTTTCTGCTAAGTAACATAAAGTTAGAAATAGTCTTCACATCATAGTCAGTCAAAAGTCATCCAATTTACCGTTAAAAAATGGTTTCTATTTTACTAATCTATCTTTGCAAATAACAGCTTACTGGTAAAAACAATCCCTTCGCTATGCCAGGAAGGGATTGCTATATAAACAGACATGGCGAAAATACGGGGGTTCTTTGATTTGATTTGACTATCGAACTTTAAAAGGTGATCTTATAATATAATCATAATTAATCTAACTTATTTGAGTAAAGATTATCATCCATACATATAAAGCTACTTGCCCTGACTTACTGACTGATTCAGCGTAAGACCTAATCCGCCAGGGCTACAGACTCGAAATTTTGGCAGCTGATGCTTTTTATGTTGTAAGCACCTACCGATAAAGGATTTTTAAAATTCCACACTTATGGTTAAATAAGAGATAAACGATTGTATGAAAATTCGTTATGTTCAAAGTTAGAAACACGAAATAAAAAAAATAACGCCAGCGAAGCCGCGGGCAATGGCTAGTTAAGATATATAAAGACATTTCAGGTTACAAGAATGTAAGTCAACTGTGCTAGAGTTGATTGTCGTAGATTTTAAACGAACAGGGTCTAAGGTCTGTCACCCCGCAGGACGGTCGCGCACGACGTTGACGGACTATAGCTTTTGACGGCGGCTCCGTTGCCGCGTTATCGCGGTAAAAAATGGTATAGAATAGAATATGCTTTATTGTACACCAATTACAGTATGTTGGTTAAATATTACAGACGGTTATTAAATATCACGAAATAAAGCTACATTAACAGCGAGAAACATAAGCACGTTTCTCGCTGATAAGGTAGGTTTACATATAAAATTCCTCGCCCTGACTACATTTTCAGGGACAAATTGGGAATTGTTATTGCTGATACTGTACGTTTCCATTGGGGAAAGAATTTTAAAAATCGGTTTAGTGGTTTAGGCGTGAAAGCGTAACCAACTAACAAACAAACTCACTTTCACATTTATAATTTAGGTATGGATATTAATATGGTAGTATTGATATTTAAATTGTTACTGTGCTGCATAACTTTTCTATGATATATTTTTTTAATTATATCAAATCATGAAAAGAGATTTAGCAAAAAAATTATCTACATATCGTGTTAATTTCTATAACAAGCTCTTATAGTCTTATACCAAGTACTTGCCACAATCAAACAGTCCGCACAGATAGAAACTTACTAAAACAGTCTCCAGTGAACGCAATCTAATAAAAAAGTAGATAAGACTCCCTTACGCAGCTGGAATTTTAATCAATTTTGCGGCCAATAACTGAAGCGGCCGGGCTCAACGAGCCACACTTCGCAAATTACCGACTAAAAACCTTTTGCTCGTATTCATCAGGATAAAGCTAAATTACGAATTTAGTTCCCCACGAAAGTAACCGTTTGCGTAACTGCTTCAGATATCGGCTACCATGAAAAAATGTTCCAATGTTCAACATACAATAATTTTTATTGACAACATACAAAAAGATTTCTCTTACACCAAACAATATTTCAATAAACAACTTTGAGTTTCGTACCAGCCTAAGGAAACTTTGACAAAAAGAATCAGATAGTAACGTCAAAGGCAAAAGCCGTTTGTACCGCAGGAGGCACCAGAGGCGAACTGAATAATGAGTTTCACAAGTATTTTGACGGAACTTTATTACGCTTTGTACTTAACAGGCAATTAAGAGCTTTTTAGTATTTTTCTTGCTCGACGCAGTAATTAGTTCGCGCAATGATTCAAAGAGCTTCCGCAATATGAAAATGTTTTACTTTAAATAAACTACGTAACTTTGAAAAGGTCCAGACTATATAGAGGACACTGTGAAAGACGTATTTTAAAAGTAAAAAAGAACTACGTTTCAATTTGAAGTTTCATTTGCATTAATATGTGTCCCAAGTTCAGAAAGGTTTCAAATTATTATAATATTAAAAAAAGAAACTTATTATAAATGAAGATAAATATACCAACTTAGAAGCCTAAATTTCTAAACAAATAGAAAGAATCAACTCTGATATTAATCTCTATAATTGTTGTTTCTAAATTGTTGTCATCACATTAAACATTATCTTTGTATGAACAGACAGAAGTAAATTCTAACGGGGGACGAGCGTATTCTATATCATGAAGTTAACAATATAATATGTTTGTTTCAGATAATTCCGTTGGAGAGACGTCCTCATTCCGGGCTGTCATTGGAGTACTGAAGACAAAGGGAAAGTGGAATAGTTTCATTTGTATTGAAAGTCTAGTGGTGAATAGGTGGTGTGAGCGGTGTGTGGCAGGTGTCACGGGACGGAGACAATGAGGCATAGGGGAGGTGGAGGATAGCATGACAGCGCCTGCCACGGTGGCCTGATGGCGCTAGTGCGCCGGATACTAGGCGACGCCCAGGTAAACAAAAAGACCCGGTTGATAAACTGGTTTCTAAATGTGACTAGTTAGATAAGTGACACACCACACTTGAACATGGTTGGATCATAGAACGACTAACAAGTAAATCTGAAAAATATATCTACTTTTACAGACAGATAACACGAACATGTCTTAACATAAACATGCAACGATAGTTATGTATAGATTATTCACTTAACATACTGCCTGAAGCTAAATTTGCTCAATACTTCAAAATTTACAAAGCATTTGTGTACTTAAGCTGTCTTTATGAAGTACAGAACCAACATCCTAGGCACGAAAGAAAAAAAGTTTAATTTGTTTTAGAAATCTGTTGAGTAAGTATGGGGATTTTGTGTAACTTTATTTGCTTGAAATATTTTTAATTTTCAATAAAGGTACATAAGGAATATTAACAATTTACTCTGAATAATAAGGGCTGCCTTTAAAGACATTGATGTTTACAGTGAAGTATTCTGTTGACACTTAGGTAATTTAGCACTTGATATAAGCGTACCATTTGATACATCAGAGTAATGAAAGCTTTAATTATTATTAATTACAAAGCTGCTGTACCTCCGGCTGCCTTGCCGTACCACCCTAAGCACGGCGATTAAATGAACAGACTTAAACGACTATTACATCAAACGGTAGCAGGTGAATTAACTAAACGGGTGGGGGGTGGGGGTTCGCTTAGATTAATAGCTACAGATATGGCGTCGTCGGATGGCCAAAATATATCGCTGTTTCCCCAAAACCTTATGTTTATAATACAAACTGGATTATGTAGACTTTATAACACATTTATTACTAAACTTTGAAATAACGCCTCCTTTATTTGAGGTGATAGAAATACTCTTCACCTAATGAAACATAATTTCAGAGATATATCTTCAGGTTTTAAGCCCTAGTGCGTAGTATTCTCGGACTTTAGAACTTAGTCTGGAATTAACCATGAAAAGCATTAAGCTGGATTTAAATAAGTGCAATGACTTTTTAACATTACAATAACGAAATTTAGGGCGGAGCAAGGTCTGACAGTACAAGTAAACAAAAAACTTTAAATGTTGGTAATTTGCTGTTAAATCACATTAAATATATTTAATTATCGTGATTTAAAATTTAGATTTTACACCTGGAATTTATTCTATGTATAGAATAGTTTTAGAATTTAAAATAAATAACTTTGCAATAATCAATAGTTACTTATACACAATAAATCAATAATGATACTTAGACGATGACTCCGACTGAACCCGAACACCACATGCCATGTAGGTGTTGACTGCATCATCCACGTCCATCGGGAATGATGTTGTATATCCCGCTGAAATGTGTTTTCTTCTAATCCCATAGCCTCTATAAGCGCGAGGTATATGACCTTAGAGATTACTTGCTCTCCGTTAAAGTAAATGTGTATCAGGACGTGGCGGTAGTTGATAACGGACATACTTCGCTTACTTTTCAATAAAAAACTACAGTTTTGCCAAAGTAACTGCAAACGCCAATTTTGACGTAAAGGTTAATAAACTCAAAGTTTTCATATTTTACAATTATTTTATTTACAAAGATTGATGTATGCGATACCGTAAGATACAATAAATATATTTAATATGTTTCAACTTCATAGAATAGAATTAAATTAAATATAGTCAAATACAGTAACTTTCCATTTATACAATCGCCTTACTTTGAAAAGTGAGCTTTTTAACTAATTTCGTATATCTCTTTAGACAAAACTAAAAATGTTTTTGGCGCCTGCTAATTTAATATCGCCGATACTAAATTGGCCCGTTCATTTTGTATTTATTACATCACAAATAATTTTTATCATAATATAAAGCCTACAAAAAAATAATTCATTGTTAACTATCTGTAGTTATTATGAAAAAAAAGTGTGAGTTATATTATATGTTTAGACGCTGTGCCAAGTGAGCATGTCAAGGTGCTTGTCAGTTGATTTAAATTTCATTCAAAATACGTGCCGTTTTACATAACTTATGGTTAATTTTCATAAGGTTATGAAAATGCCGATATTTTATCTTTAACTCATAAAGATAAAATATCGGCATTTTCATAACCTTGTAAAAATATTAAGAAGATTCTAGAACATGCCTGGTACCTAGTAAATTATGAGGTGTCAACTGAATTGTTCTGTAATGTATACAGCAATGTAAGCCAGCCTTTAACATATTTTATCAACGGTCGTATACGTCCTTGTAACAATCCCCAATCATGAGTAGTTGAAGCTTCTTTCGAAATGGTCTTCTTAGCAGTAGTTCAGGGGAAAAGCTATCTAGAAGAGGACGTTCTATAACCGTAATGATGAACCTTATAATAAATTTTCAGGCTTGGTAGAATTTAGTGTTCTGAATAGTACAGACGTGTGTATTTCAGTTAATTTATGTATGTGTGTTCACTTCTTTTTGTCTTTTTGACACTTGAAAGTGCACGGTGTAACAATTCCTATTCAGTAAAGATGTAATATATTCATTTTCATTATTATTTCGTTCAGTATTTATTTAGAGGCTCAGTTTCAGTTGGATTGTGTCCAACTGAGGTACATGGTTGAGTATTCCGATTCAACTAAAATGTATGTAATAATAAGAAATTTATATTCAGGCGAAACTCCGCAAAATGGTCGACGAGCAAGTCTCAGTGGGGGCCAGAGTAGACGCTGACGCGGAGCCAGAACCAGCAGATCCTCTCATCACTCCTGCAAGCTCGGCACTCGATAGGCCCGAATTAGACCGGCCTATCCCACCAGAAAGAAGGCTCCTTATCGGAACTCTAGATAAACCTAGAAATGGGGGGCTCGGAAGCCTCAGCGTTGATAAAGAAGCTACTCTTAACAGAACCACTAGACTTTCAATTCGAAATGGGAAAGATAATCCTTTTATAGGTGAGTTTTTATATATATGTATGTTGTATAAAGTAATGAAATGAAAAGCCCAGGCAACTGGCCTAATATGTTTTTGGGTTCCTTACTACCTGATATCGAGTTTATCGGTATTAAATAATTATTAAAAATGATAACTAATCAACTACCATCAAAAATCATTGTACTATCCGTCTGTCTTGCTTGAAACATGACATGTCATGTACCACCAATATATAAATATATATATATATGGCATATACGGTTTAACTTAAATTAAAAATGTAAACTAAATTTATAGGCTTTAGGCATATTAAAATATCAAGCATTTGCTTTTTCAGTGAATTTAAACAAACGTGACAAGAAACAAGGCCCTATAACAAAAAAAAACTAAATTTAAAAAGATATGTTTTTAAACCTTAAAAAAGCTGAGGACAAAGTGTCTTAAGCCCAGTTTAAAATCGTTGTCCTTACCAACCGCATTAAGTAAGCGAGAAACCTAAAACACAAAAATGTTACCCTAATCAGATGTCACGTCAAACAAAAATGTCAAGCTTTCAGTGGAATTATATATTCTTTTGTATCACATCAAAGTTTTCTTCAAAATATAAAAGCGGTTACCTACAATTCGTCTCTTCTTTTGTAACTATGGTTTAGTTGTAATAAGATTTACTAAAGTATTAAACGTTCAGCAAATTATTTCTCAATTAAAGTTTGCAGTTACGGTTGAGAGTGTGTAAGTAACATCATTAAAATTTGCTCATATCAAACAAGCTATAAAGTCTGTCTTTATAATACATTAATTCTTACTAACGATTGGGGTTTCGCAGCAGATATGTACATCTAATGTATTCGCGCAAGTTAATCTACTTAACGAAATTGAAACTAATCTTACTGAAATGTAATTCATCTCCATTGTAATTTGTAACAAACTATGTGTGTGTACAAAGTAAACCTAAATAAGTCTTGACTTATCTTGACTACTATTAAAAACAATTGGGCACTTGAGAGATTATACTGTTTCTCTTGTAATCCTCAAAGACCTCTTGTGTATTAACAAATATATGGAAAAGAAATGTAGATAAGAAGAGAATGGCAAAGGTAGACAAGGGATATTGGTTAAGAGCTTTTGCTCGAGGAGGTCAATTTAAAATTGAATATTGCAGGAAAGACTGAGTTTTCTGGCCACTATTTATTTTTTCCATCAACTAAGTATTTTTATTTTCGAATGAGCACTTTTCCACCTGAAAAGTCATTAAAACTAATATTTTGTTCTTTTATGTATTACAAAACTTCAACCAAAACACCTTGATATGAATCTAGCATAATTAACTAATTCAATAATCACTATGCAAATACAACTATGTTGCAAAAGCACAACGTAAAGTTCTTTCCCACTTTTCGAGTTTTCTTGACGATGAGACCTTAAGTCGCGCTCAAAAGCTAGTAATAAATAGTGCATGAAATTAAAATGTATTTTTTTTTAATAGATGACGACAATAAAGAAAACCAAGCAAATGGTAAAATGGAATCGCCAGTAAAATGGTCATTACAGAACGGTAGTGACAGCGGTACATATGCCGAGATTGGAAATGGAGGGAATAGCAACACTAGTGAAAGGAACATTCTGGACCCGGCTGACAGCTCCGAAGAGGAGGTGCCATTACCTGATGCTACATCACCCGGAAGAAGCAGCGATGGTCCGGAACCAAGAGCTGATATTACAGCGACACTTGATGGAGGTATAATTACCACGTTATCTAAGCATATTTTAAGGATCTGCATACTTCTATCATCGTCTGATTTGTATTATTTAAGGAATGATATAAGTGCCCGAGATGTCAGGATAGCAAGTATAGAATATAGATTAGATATAGATTTTAACTGAAATATGCTATAAAAACGCGGTGTTTTCATTTGTTTAAATATTTAAGACAATTCTTTACGACAACCTCTCGCAACCAACCGTCGTCAAAACGAGCATTATGTTTTTTTCTACCTTTGTAATAAAACAAAGCTCTAGTCTATTTTTGGCATTTTTACCACTGCCATTAATTTTTGTTACATAACAGGTACGTTCATTATTCCAGCCAAGTTGCTTACCATCAATATTGAGAAATTACACTAATTAATGTCATTCCATTATAACGCTATTTCGACTTATGCTCTTTAGACGAAATTGGAGAACTGCCATGACATATTTGACGTACCTACTACGTACTTTATGACGTACTTTACCAACCAAAAAAAAGGGTGTAAAAATCTAGTGAGTTAGATGCACTGAAGTTACAGTTCCGATCAGTGATAATGAAGTCTTTTTTATCCAAAAATATATACAACTAACATATACAATTACAAAAATACATATATAAATATCCATACAAACATAAATAATCGTATACATATATTAATATTCGTACACTGTAATTAATGAGAAGTACTATTAATTAGGTAATTCCGGTAAAAGCGAACTAGGAAAAGGTAAAGTTGGTAGCAGAGTTTATCTGAAGAGTTTGTAATCCCGGTGATAATAGTTCGCAACTAGACGAGACAGCATGTTTGTTTTACTGATGAAGTAAGTTCGCTTAGTTTGAAATTCTTCATAGGTTCGGCTACAAGCTGAGAATGTAACAAGCCTTGTTCAACTATATGATACCTACATGTACTAAACCACAGACACTGAATACGTTAAAACTGTTCTTCTAGAATAGGCATTGAAATACGAGACGGGTCGATGACTTAGTTCATGACTTGGTGTTAAGGCATGTTTGGTTTGCATTATTAATACAAACGGACACTCGCATATACGGTCTATTTTACTAGATTATTTTACAATACACAAAGTGGCACTAAGCACACAAAAAAAAAATAGTTTTAGCAATAAAATTTTCCGTTTAGCGACAGATTAGGAATACGGAGTATCACCACCGGGACCCACGGGATGAATAGGTCACCACCACCTATTCATCCTGTGGCTGCCGTAAGAGCCGACTAAGGGAGCAAATTCTGCAAGAAAAGAGCCTTGCAAAGAGAAAGCAAAACTTGAAAAAAACCTGTACCGACTCGTCTGGCATGCGTAGTACAGTAGGCCAAAACCTGCTTTCTAAGGAGAGGTTATGTCCAGTAGTGAACTATTACTGGCCATTGATGATGATGACGAAAAAATCTTTTATTTAGGCTATTTTTGAAGTAAATGAAATACAAGAGTAACTATAGATATTCATGATTTAATCGGCATTACTAAGATACAATCTGTGTATAGTGAAAATATTAATTTTGTTGCGGCCATTCTCAGAAGAATATCCTCGTTACTAATGAGCGTTCACCCTAGAGGAATAAGCTCATTTGTCGACTAACTGTTCACTGCATATCCCGCTAACGCAGCACGAAATATACTTTTCAACGAATGATGCAATTTGTCATTTAAATCTTTTCATATCTTACTACAGCTACTGAAGAAAGCACGTCTGTAGTTCATTCATTCACATTAAGTTGCTTATTGAAATAAGAAAGTACGTTGTACTTAATCAATAATGTAATCGATTATTTTTGTGTAAGAAAGAGCTCGTAAAAACTTTTTTATAATTAGTAAAGAGGAAGTAAAATAAAAATAGAACACAAGTATGGTGTGCAATAACTGCACGGATATATGACTGCACGGATAGCGTAGTGGTTTAAGCGATAGCCACGCCGCTTCCTACTACACTGAGTGTTGTGGGTTCGATCCCCACATGGGACGACTCCTTGTGTGATCTACAAATTGTTGTCCTCCGTCTGATTGTTCTTTGTGTCCGTTTCATGTATGTCTGTAAAGTGTAAAGTTTGATATATTCCTAATGCGGCAGTAGTCTTTTTGATTAAAAAAATAAACAAAATAAAATGATTGTTTTACAGATCATTTTAACGGTAATATCTACGCATATTAGCCACTTTCATTCATTAGTCGATTTAAGGTTGTCAACTAACTTGTTCTTTGGAAACCACAAAGAAGTCGACCTTTTTTCATGAAATGTGCTAAATTGCATAAGTAAAATAAAATTAATGTCAATAAATTAATTTCTATCAAAAAATATTTGAAATGGAGATAAATAGAATAAATGATGAAAGTTGTAAATATCTATTCTAATATAGCAATGAGGGTATTCATCCGTAGCTATTGTTGCCGGAGACAATTGTGCAATGAGTCACCGTGTTGACTTATCAGAGCAAGCAGAATAATAGGATCAATGGGACACTGTGCAGTGAAGCATAATTTATCTGCAATCTGGCCGCATTTATTCACGTTACGATAGGGCTTTCGACATCCAATTTGCCACCGCTTCATTTGATACTAATCCTCAGCTTATTACCAACTTCTTTTTGCTATATCTGACCAACCCAGACGTGTAGGTTTATTAATATGAGGCAGTAGATTCCAAGCCTTTTCTCTTTTTATTTGTTTCGTGGATGAACGCTATCTAGAGGAGAATAATTACATGGCGTAGAGAATGCGTTATTTTTCCGGAGTCAATACGTCACCTCTGTAAGGGACGGGTGGCACAATAAAGTATGCGTCTGACACACCTGCCGCCGTCGACAGGCAACGTGCCGTGACGTGGAACATGTGAGTATGTGTGTAATCGATTTGTCTGGAACGGCCAAAGTCGCGGTTGCCGTGACCACTGACCAGGGAAACTTTGACGATATTACGTGTCTGTCGAAGAACAATTTTATTCACATGAATAAGGTAGTGTCATACTTTTTTAAACTATAACTATTCTTATGATTGCTAATAATAAGGGTTACTTCGTGATCCTTTTAACTATAAACAACCTTTTAACATCCTTTCAACATACAACAATGCTAGGTAATAAATGAACAACTATGTAATTATTTTTCATTTTTAACCTTTTTGTATTGTAGTAATCGACCACCTCATTATAAATGATAGAACCGACTAAAAAAAGATGTGTAAAAGATTGACACTTTGTTTATTTTATTATTCCTTCCTTTTATGGTTTTAAATATAATAGCCTGATTTTAATTAAAAAAATGCTATTACAATGTTGGTTAAGTGTATTAAAAATTCGCCAATAAAAAAGTATGAGAAACCATAATCGCTTATATCGTAAAGTAATTTACCTGTAATCTCTATAACATATGTTTCAATTTCACAGAGCCGTAAAAGTTGTATAGTTTTACAAATTTAACAAACCAGGCCCAAACAATTCAGCTTGAGATTAATTAACACACACATTAAACACACTTCCGGCTGTAAATCCGTATATTGTTAATTATTACCAAGAATATTATAAAAGATTTTTAAGGGTAGACCTAAATTTTTCGTAATCATGATTACATGTTGTAGTTTATCTTTTTAATAGAAGGCTGGACTTTTTTAATTTTGGCATTGCTGTTTAAAGTCTGCACGGACTCGACTGCACGGATGGCGTAGTGGTTTAAGCGGTCGCCACGCCGCTTCCTACTGCGCCGAGTGTTGTGGGTTCAAACCCCAAATGGGACGACACTTTGTGTGATCCACAAATTGTTGTTCTAAGTCTGGGTGTTCTTTGTGTCCGTTTCATGTATGTTTGTAAAGTCTCCCGCGACACAGGAATGTATTCCTAATGCGGGAGTTGTCTTTTTATAATAAATAAAAAAAAGAAAAGTATATTGTCTTTAAATCTACACACTTTTGAATGAGAATTGTAAAAAATCTTTCACGAGTATTCAAAGCATATAAGTATTTAATTTCTCGTAATTTTAAGACTGGTAGAGAAATCATTACTTAGTTTTGAGGCAGTTTTTACACACGCGCTTTTAACGTGTAGGTGTTGGTTAAAAAAAAAAATAACAATATGCAATGTTTAAAAGCTTGCTTTTTATACTGATATCTACGTTCTTTACAAAAACAAGCAAGGCTTCTTATACAACAGGTAATGTAATTAAGATCGTATTACTTCAGTATATTGTATAGGTACATACATGTGTACAAAGGTTTTTGGGCATTAGTGATTAATATGAATATTGTGCTAGAGATTTAACATCCTCTAAAAACTTCGAACTTCGAAAAAGGTTTGAAGGGAATATTTAAGTGTAATGATTCATTCTTTTAATGTACGAAAGCAAGAAATCATAAAGATCATTATGCGACAGGAGGAACAGGAACAGGAGGTTCTCAATTCGACTGTATTTTTTTGTATGTTTGTTATGCGATATCTCCGTCAATTGTGGACCGATTATCAAAATTACTTTTGTAATTGAAAGGGTATACTCCCGAGATGGTCCCATTAACACCGAATCAGGACCAGGATCCCAGGGAAATCGAGGCCATCCCGGAAATCTGACATCCCCGACTGCGTGTTTTAGCTTGTTTCTCTGTTGCTGAGCTGATGATGGAAGGTTCTTTGACCTTTAGGAGTTAGAGGTTAACTCTATCAATAATATAATCATGTATCTAACTTATTTTATTCTTTCAAAAAATTTGCTAGGTGTTTGTGTTGTGTTACAGACATATGTGCACAAAAAGTAAAAAATGAGATTAGAATACATTTAGACAAAAAAATATTTGTTGCCCATTACTTGTACCGGTTTTTCTTACGGCCACGGATAAAAATAATATCAAAATTATTTGCTTTCTTTTAGAAGTCACAGTCATAGATTATCATGAGGATTTTCTTTTCAAACTAATAAGATATGAAATTGCTTTTATATTTCAGTATATTTTGACTGACAAAACTGTGCAAATTATTGCCATATCCAAAATAAAAAATATGTTGGGGCATTAATTATTTTTTTAATCGATTACAAATCGATGTACGATAGATTTATAAAGAAGTTAGTTTTTTACATCACACATGTTTGAAGTTGGTGCCTAAACCTATGCAGAATAAGTAATGCTGAGTGTCTATGTCAGCTCAATAAAGAATTAAGAATTTATTTTAAGAATAAAGAAATAATTAAGAAACATCACAGAAACATCAAGTAATGAAGCCAACCAGACCAGTTACCTACGCAAACTTATCAACTAAGAAAAAAATCGGTTGTCTGTAAAGTCGGTTTACTGACGTTAGTTGAACGTGACAACGTCATAAGAAAATACTGATGGAATGGTTGCATTTTACGAAAACATGTAAATGTATTATTGTATAGCAGCTGTCCACGCGGACGCATCGCTCACTCAAGTAGGAGAGAGACAGATGTCAAACGCTGCCGAACGCGGAGGCCGATTGTGCCTCTTTGTTGCTCGTACCGCGCTCTCGCTTGCACTTCAAGCCTTAAATGAAACGCCTCAGAGCGAGGTAACGCCGCATGAGTCATGTTTTTTCGAGCGTGCAGCCGGCTCCATCGAATTATAAGACGTTGTCACGTCAAAAATAGAAACTGTTTATTTTGGCAATAACAGAACACTTTTGACAATTTTGCAGCTTGAGTTACCACCGATGCCAAAAACGGACCCAATTCAGCCTTGTTTCAGACGAAAGTCTGACCCTGGTTTTCAATTGAGCCCAAAATTACGCTATGCTCAAAACCAGTTGCAGACCCTAATTATTACGTCATGTACATAACATCATAAGACTAATAACATAAATATAACAAGCCAAAAACAGATAATCAGATCATGCTAATATACACTACGATATACACAATAACATAAATCAATAAAGTCTGCACACTCTTTTACTTTACTAGCGTTCACCTGTAACCCACTTTGGCTTTTTTAGCATGTTTTGCACAGCATGAAGACCTATCAAATACCTATTGTGCTTGGCACCGTCTTCAAACAGACTAGAAGGTATCTGCTATTATAATGTTATTATATACGTTATATTTAGGGTCGCACTTTATTTGTTTCTTCAATTAGTTTGTAATTAGTTTTTGTTTATTTGTATTGTTTGAAGTCGGTTCAACATTTTTTTAAAAGGATTTATTTCAAAGTAATTTTGTAGTCAACAATGAAAATTACGAAACACAAACCCATTTATAAAAAAGTCTGAAATAAAAATAGAACGTCATAGAGTCTAGAAACATTGTCCTTTACACAGCGTTAGGTAGTTTTGTAACCCTTTTTAAATATGTTTTTCGAAATGACCCACAGTTTTCTAATGTAGAAAAATAATGTTATGGTAGATTGTGTCATTCTACTTTCGCGATATACCTAGTCAAATATGTTATTATCTTATATCGCAACTAATTAGAGGCCATCTACTTCTTGTTTGGTGAAACATAAGTGTTATTGTATGTAGGTATAGCTTAATATTCCTCTACTGTATTAGAAGCGGCTTCACCGGGCGGGCGGTCGGACCGATCACGACAAGAGGAAGTGCCGGCTTCCCCTGGGATGCTCACCGCGGCTCAAGTAGCCAGAAGGCTTCGGATGGAAAACGATCGATTACAGGTACGCAAAATATGAATTAAAATAAATTTGCTTCATTTAAACGAGTTTGTGGTTGACAAAGTAACTAATTATAACCGACCAATCTCAGCGGTTATAACGCCTTTGAAAGTAAATGGATAACTACACTCGAAGACCTAGCCCTAACTCTCAATGTTGCGTTTTATTACTGCGTAATCCGCAAAGATTTCTGTGTCAAACGACACCGAGTCTAGTGCTGTAGATATTAAATGGTTGACAAAAAAGTTAGTACCTAATCCAACCAAAATGTTTAAGTATACGAACAAGCCGGATCAACCACATTTTAGTCACCATGTTAATCATGAATCAGAATCTTGATGAATGTGCAAGCGCCTATGTATTATAAGAGAGAACTAATTACGTAACAACAAGCAAGATCATAAGGAAAATTGGACCAAGAGAAGATAAACACGATGATACGTCCAACTATTGTAATTGAGTAATGAAGGTTAGTTAAATGTTACAAAACATTACTGTTCTTTATCCCCAACAGACCTCGTGCTTTAAAGATTACACAAGTTTAAAAAGCAAACTCAAACATATCAAAAGGGTACGCAAACGATTCATCATAATTATTATGTGATATTTCGTACGAACTCTCGCAAATATGCTATCCAAAAGAACAAAAATGAAACATAACGGCTTTCATAGATTCTCGTACTGCCAATTTTTAGTTCGTTCTTTTTACCCTTTTGGGAATAGCTGTTTGTCCGTTCTGTATCACTGTAGGCATCTGTATGTAAATAAATAGGAGTTTAGGGCATATGGTTACATTGGTCAATATTAGGTAGTATTCAATATTTTAGTAGTAATTAGACAAAAGGATAATAAAGCGGTATTTCTCAATAATTGCTTTCGATTATTAATTTATCTTAAAGCAACTTTTGCCCGCAGCGCCGCCCGTGTGTATGTCGGTTATCACGGTAAAAAATAGACTATGTTACTCACTGATAACGTAGCTTTCAATCGGTGAAAGAATTAAAAAAATCTGTTTCGTGGTTTATGCATGACAGCGTAACAAACAAACAAACAAACTCAGTTTTACATTTATTATATAGTTATGGATGTAGTTAGCAAGTAATGTTTCCCTAAGGTAGTTTCCCCAGTACTTAAAAAAGAATAGTGTTCAGACGTTGCTTTAATGAGTACACCTTTACAAGTAGCGGTATCGTATACCAATAGCTATTTCTAATTAGCTCACAATTTTTAAATGGTCCACTTACTTAACTAATACTAAACTTTTTCACCAAATGAAGTAAATATAAAAGTAAAAATATTTATTTTCACACTAGTTAAATGTTCATGTTTATAGCAGCTACAAGTTAGTAACAAGTATTAAACATTCTAATTCTTTAAAACATTAAAATTATTTTCTTTAATGTATACATTCTTCAATACTCGTAGACTGTCATTACTAATTCTTGGAGCGTTTCAGATTAAATTTTTACTTAACCTTTTTCCACTCGGTCGATCTCAGACCGATGTTAAATAAGATATTTTCAGTTTATTACTTTCTCAATGGACCTTTGGCGAAGTCAATTTCGTAAATATGTTACAATTTCACGATATTTAATATCACAGGAAAAGCTTTTTTGCTTTATTGTTTGCCATTGTGGAACCCACTTGAGCTCTAGGAGCGGAAATACTTGAAGTGGTATTAATAATGTAGTGCGGGAGTAGTACTACAATGTTTTGTATAAAATATTTTTAGGGCAATATGTACTTAAGACATTTGTTTAGGTTAAATTTATAACAATAGGAAAATGCTGCAATTGTTTACATTCTATAATAATAAACTGAAAAAATATTACTGTAGGAACTGTACTTTACAGAACTGTATTTTAAAAGGGCCTATGTAATTAGATTGTAACCAAATCAAAATAAATTATATCACAAACTCAGCTCATTACATGAAACTTAACGTGCTTTTTTATCGTTAAAGGGTAATGAACTGATAAGAAATGAAAAATTAAGAATTAAATTAAGTTACATATCTCGCGATATTAATCTATACTTACCATTAATACTCTTAATATAATTTGATATTTTCCAAAATGTTTCAAGTAGCTTTTATCGGTAATTTATTTTATTTTATTTTATTTTAATTAAATTGAATGCATAATATTACAAACTTAAATTCAATTTTCTGGCCGTTTGAATGGTTCCTAGTTAAGCCTTTAGGTTATAATATTGTCCAATTTAAATTGAAACACAAAACTGAATTAGTTTAACTGAAGTACTATTACATTCGTGGAATGAAATAAACAACTCCTACTTCTCCCTAAATCACGAAACTTAAACTTAACGGCCTATTAAATACAACTTGAAAAAAAATGAGTGTAAAACCAATATTACGAAAAAGAATTAAAAAATACACTACACAAAAAAAAAAAGGTTCCATTTATTTAGCTCTTTTAGATTTAAATAGTAAGCGTTGAAGGATGAAATATTTTTAAGGTCTAAACATTATAATAAAGACTTAAAGCCTATATTAAATATTTATTGAATAGAATAAGCTTATTATAAGGTTGCCAAATTTCATAGCCAAGGTTCTTAGAAATAAATAGGTTTAAAGGGTAAAGAGCTTTATAAGCGTTTAGCCGGACAGCGCCAAGAAAAGAGGCGAGCCTTTAAAAGGCTAAAACACTGATTTTCAGGATATAATTAAGCCATTACGTAGGCCTTTAGATAAAGTATCTTATTATGTTATGTTAAAGTTGAAAATATTATATTTAGCTTAGCATTAATCGGAAAAGATTTAGTTTGGTATTTATAGGAATAAATGTGTTTCCTATAATAGTTGACATATTTAATATGGGACGGCTACCCTAACTTTCATTATTATTATTCGTCCAGGCCGTGTCAATTGATGTCACAAGGAATACTACCTAACACTTCCAACCTTTCCACGACTGGTTTAGGATATATTGTTAAAGTTGTCACCAATGCCTGTATATACTGAAATCGTTTATATAATATTACAGTTTTAATTTTATGTGATGTAATTATTAGAGATTTGGAAGCGTTTCTAAATCTCTAATAGAAAAAACCGCCCTAAACTTTTTCTACTACCTCACTCAATCTTCACCGCACTAGGAATCTCGTGAAACTGCTATAAAGGAAATATCTTTAACGACCTGTCAAACTATTCCAATAAAAGGTTACGTATCGAATCTCAAAATAACGATCACAGAATAAAGTCACGGGACTGTTTTGTCAGCGTAATCGGTTTAGAGGTGCCGAAATACGGCTCTACGGTCACGAAAGTAAAATTGGTTAAATCGATACCAAACATTTCGATAACAAGTTTTCATTATCGTTGTGTATTATTGAAGACGATAGACATTGGCAACACATAATATTTTATTGAAAATCGTACTTTAATAGAGTATAATGAAAATTGGAAACCAGTTCTTAATGGCTAAACGAAACAATAATTTGTAATGTATAATATTTTAATTATACATTACAAATTGCAGACTACACTGCAGTAATATTTTAAATTGTATTATTGATTCTAAAAATGCATCCTTCACCTCACACTCAAAGTTTACATAACTACTCGTATGAGTACTCTCATACCTAGTTTAGGACAGAGCTTTGTGAATCAACGTCAAGGACCAACCGTTATCTTGTCTATGGTGAAGGCCTCTGATCGAGCTTTGAACATTAAATGTATGAATGTTGTGAACATGCCCAATTTGAAACTATATTTGTCTGGAATACTATTAAAACTTTCCTTGTCATGCTTCAGTGTCATGTTTCACAAGGTTTTCCACAAAATATAATATTGGAAAAGAAACGAAGTAAATATTTTGAAATGCGTTATGGCTACAGATTCATTTCTTCCGCAGGGCGAGTTAACTCGAGTACGTCGTCTTTTAGTGGCGGCTGCTGAAAGAGGAGAGGCTGGTACAGCATTGCTTGACCGGTCAAAGACCGAAGGAGGCTCCGAATCTACACCTCTTGACCCACAACAACTTGAAAAGGAACTTCTTCTAGCTAGAGAAGCTGTTACCTGTAAGTCCCAATATTATATTTTTATATATATGAAAATGTTAAATCGGTTTGTGTACACTACTGTTACATGTTTACTCACGAGGAATTCCGCAACCAAAATCCTATATTGTGATGCTAGGGGTTCCCGGGAAGCACCTTACAGTCTCTAAAAAGTCTTAGGTTTATACAATCCATTTGAGTATTGTTGAGGCCACTCTTTTAGGTTAAGAGATGATGTTCTGCTTTTGTGAAAAAGGTGTTGACGATGCCTAAGTCGTACATTGACGCGAACTGTAGGATGGCTTCACCTTCTGGGTTAAGTGTTCCGTAGTACGAGTTTGTTGTGCTTCCTACATGGCCGTTTAAGTCCGCGCCTATGTAGTTTGACTCGTCTTTTGATATTGTTCGGATTTGGTCGTACATGTCATCCCAAAAGGTCTGTTTCTCAGAGCTTGGGCAGCCGACTTGTGAGGCGTATGCGCTTATCACGTTCATGCATGTACCGTCTATTGCGAATTCAATGGACATAAGTCACTTATCCGGCTAACGTTTACGTCTACCATATGATCTTAGAAGTTCTTGTCTACCACTATTCCACATATTTTTTGAAAAGATATTGGTTTCATTAAAACAGTCCTTATTATTTTATGGTAATTGTAGTTTAAAAGACATTACTACTGTCGTTAAATAAGCTATTATTTGCTTTACATCGTCACTAATTTTTTTTTTTTTTTCAAAAACTTTAATCACACTAAGATTTACATTTGTTTACATTTTCTCGATTCGCCAAACTGTTCTAACAGTTTGTAGGCGTTCCGCTCAATTTATAATAACCTAAGTACTTAAATGCTAGTTTATAAATTCCTCCTACAACGGTGTACTAACTCAACAAACAAAATAATTTCAAGACAAACAATACATAAATATGTGTACCCTGACTATTTCCTGGGCACCTGCTTCTCTATTTATGTACGCGTTTTAATCTATTGCCATATCCAAACATTTCTTTTAGTCTTAGTTTTAGTTTAAACTTACATTTTATTTTCTTTTCCTCCCTTAGTATTTGATATTTATTACATAACTTTGGTACTACATACTTCCTGGTCCTTTCCCCATAATAATTATTTACTTTTAACTGCTCTAATTTTCCCTTCTTCATTACTCTGACACTGTAATGATATTTTTTCTTTATCTTATACTCTTCACTATGATATGATTCTAATGCTATTAAATATTTAACTTTTTATTAAATTTAAATTAAATATAGGTATCGTATTTTTTTTACTTTAATTTTTATTGAGAAGTCGTTATCTCGTCTAATAAAACTTAATTACACTTACAAAGTCAAAAGAGTGATTAATTTGTTTATTTTATTGACTTTAATATATATACTTTTGTTTTATAAAATTTACAGTATATTACTCTTTTATGGTTAGTTAAATTGATTTATGAAATAGCCATAGTTTCAATATACCGTTCTCCTTCTTACAGATGTGTTGATAAGTTCATAACTTCTTTGGACAAAATTCTAGAGTCTTTGTGTTCCTATGAAACCGTTGTCATTAGAGGTGACATAAATATAAATATTAATTGGGCCATAGTGGATAAACTTTCTGACCAATATTTAGATCTAACTTCATCCCATGGCTTTTCGCATTCCCTACAACACGTAAGGATAATTGTATAGATCATCAAAAGCAATGCAAGGGCCATTACTCTTGTCCTTGATAGTTATATCACTGACCATGCTCCCTTGTTTTTTGCCTGTGAGCATAAAACGACGCCCTATGCAAATAAAACATTATGTAAAAAACGCCTGGAAACTCTGAAAGTCACTAAGGACCTCGAAATGATAGACTTTACACCAGTACTTCGGCAAGCTGGTGCGGATGAGGCAACTGAGGCGTTAATTAACATATTGTCCACAATTATAGATGCAAATTCCAGCAATCGTGTTATTCCAAACAGAAAGAGAATTCTTAAGCCGTGGATTACTCCAGGCCTACTTCAGGCCGTTATGGAAGATTGGCTCGAGAAGCATCACGGGACCCTCTCATACCGGCTAACGCAGGTGATCACCGGGAGAAAATGGTTCGGGGATCACATGTGTCGTCACCTATCAGACATCGGAGTCGAATTTCTCTCGCTAAGTACCATGATTGCGGACATAGTACGGGGCGAAAGCGCATGGAACTCCGTCGTCTCCTTCTGTGAGCAAGTTATGCTTGCGAAGGAGACGGCGGAGCGTTACAGCGAGAGATTTAGAACTCTTCCAGTCCGCATGCCACGGTGGCTGGTATCCGAGGGGATTTCCGCACAGAAAAAAAAGTGTCAGTCTCATAATTAAGATGAATCTAACGACACTTCAAAAGACAAAATCCATGGGGCCGTTAAGGTTACAGAGTGTGCCAACTAAATATGCTTACATACATACATACACTCGAAGAACATAACCCTCCTTCTGGCGCAGTCGGTTAAAAAGGCAACCATTTTATGTAAGTATAAGAAATATTAATAGTCCACAAAGTTAGACTCAGGGTAATCCAATTCGAGCCCACAAAAGTGGGCAATTTGTTGAGTGCCGCCATGATACCGGATGCTCACAGTGAACCGACATTTTGATAAACTACACTAATAATATACCACAAGGTACAGTGCCTTAGACTCAAATCTGTAAGCGGGTCACGTCCCTCCCAGGGCGTGCTCCCAACACCGACTGACATTTTCACTAATGTCATTATACTGACGAAACTTGTCAGTTAAGCTGTACCATTATAAATTATGTTGGACAAACAAGTGCCATATGCTCACTTTGAAATTAGTCCGCTAATTTGCGAACTAAATATAATATAATGTTATATCATAAAACTAGACACTAAAATAGCATTTTAAATGATATTTTAGATACATAAGCCGCAACTGCGCCGAATAGTACGTCTATGTAAGAAGTTATTATGCGCTGGTGGTGAGCTAATAATAATAAAATTGGTATTTAAACTATTTATCAAATCCCACAGATTCCATTGGAATATTATCGTGGGCTACTTACAAAAATATTGGATCAATCTTAATTTCATTTTAACTCATTCGACTACAATCCATTCATCTTAGTCATTGTTGAAGCTAGAATTCTATTCAGTTTGAAGATTTTAACATGCGCCATATCGGATTTCCATTATCCTCGATTTACGCTGGCCATAATGTTAAAGTAGGTCATACTCCATTACGCTTCTTTAAGAATAATATCCTCTTGTTGACTATTAACCCGCATAATATCACAGGCGAAAAAGTAATATAATGTTATTACGTCGGGATGTGACGGTAATATTATATTTGAAACTCTTCGTTATTGTCATCCATACACAGGGACCGGGCACACTAATAAACAGTGTCAAATTAAATTATGAAACACTAAATTACAGCAACAGGGGCAATTAAAAATAATCTGACATCAAAAAATTTGTTTGAAGTAAATTGCTTTTAACATGGGCAGTTTATTCAGGTGTAGGTACATTGTATAAATTTATACATTAAGAGAGAACTTTGTATGCATTTAAAAAAATACTAACAGAGAATATGATAGACGTGTGAAGATACTTCGGTCTAGGTTCGTTCGGTTCTTGTATTGCTCTGGTTCAATGATGATAACATAAGACTGCATGGAAAGCGTAGTGGTTTAAGTGGTCGTCACGCCGCTTCCTACAGCGCTGAGTGTTGTGGGTTCGATCCCCATCCGATGGGACACCACAATGTTTGATCCACAAATTATTGTTCTGAGTCTGGGAGTTCTTTGTGTACGTTTCATGGAGGTTTGTAAAGTCCCCCGCGACACAGGATATATATTCCTAATGCGGTAGTAGGCTTTTTTTTAAAAAAGCCTTGTTTCAGGCTTGAGGGTCACCTCAACTGTCAAATTGTAACATGACTGTGACGACCGTAATAAAAATTAAAGATTATTAATAGTAATTTTATTTTTTATTTTTAACAGTAATTCCTCAATCTTTCATTCTTAATAATACAAATATATACCAAAACACACATTGTGTACGGTTTTAGCGTTGTGGTACCACGTACATATATTTACCTTACATAACCGTTAGATACACCTAAATCATGTACCAATCAAGGGTATTGCTTGTACACCACAAACCACACAAATTGAAATCGATCATAAACTGTGTGTGCCTAGGACTGTATACATTGAGTAACTTGTTACACAAACAAAACTTTTACATCTATTAGTATTGGTTCAGCCTGAAAATACCAAATTCACATTGTTTATGCTTGTTAATAAAATCGCCTGGAACCGCAATTCAATTTCCAAACTGTCAAAATAACGGCAAAAAACAACTAGCTGAGAGTAGTAAAATGTAGGTCAATCCTTCATGCGTTTTATTCTCGTAAGTATAGCATTTTATTTATGACATACAAATATTTGAAGCGAGATAACATGCACAAACAGCAAAGTGATGACAGAAACAGGCTCTTCAAAGAAACTCAAAGAGTTTTAATCGCTTGGGATTTATTTATGGATCTCGTTACCGTGTTCAGTATGTATTTACCAGTTTTTACTTTTATTTGTTCAACAATATTTGGATTGGTTATGTATTACTTTGAACTTTGATTATAGTCAAAGTAGCCGCTATAATAAACAAAGTCTACCTACTAACAACAACATATTGTAGGAACTTTGATATTGACTTGCTTAAACATATATTTGGTTTTAGCTTTGAAAGCAGACAAAAAAAGGTTGAAGGCGGAGAAATTTGATCTACTAAACCAAATGAAACAACTGTACGCCACGCTCGAAGATAAAGAAAAAGAACTCCGAGACTTTATAAGAAACTACGAACAGGTAATTTTTTTATATCGAGCTGACTTTAACGATATGTAATACGGAAAAGCTTAATATTTGTTATAAGATAGGTACTTGCATACGCGACAGAGTTAGCAGCAGCAAGTAGGATTTATTCACTTTTTAGACGACTAGTTAAGCTACCGATTACATAATATGTTACATATATTAAAAAAATACTATCCAGAAACTTAATCATGTGAATTTAGGTACATACGTTCATAGAAAGAGTCCCTAAAGGGTATAATCACATGTTATGCGCAGAGTGTATAAATGAATGCTCATCACTCGATCAAGGATTGTAGCCCTTCAATTTTAGCACATCCAAACTTTGCATATTGTTCTACAAACTGAGCAATAAAAAAACGACATCCAACACTTCTTTAAAAACGATTTCATAGTCAAATGCAAAATATCTTTATTTCATTAAATTTTTAAAATTGCTTCAAATCGTCCCTTATGTAGACTCGTAACACTCGTAACTCGTTATACTCACACGCACAATAGCAGCAATCTCTGTTTTGTCGAATATTTAGCAAAATAAATGTATATGTGCCGTGCCGATCTACAACTGCATGTTTCCAAGAGTTTGACCCTTATGAGAAGAAAGGGTAAAAAAAGTCACGGCCACTCTTTTTAAATTAACAGATAGATACAATGGCATTACTAAATATAGCCGAACATTGTTTCGATGTGTGCCAGTATGTCAGTTTAGTATAGTTTATTAAGGACTAATTAGTCAGTTATTTTTGAACGACCCGTCAATAAAATGATAAAATATATCTTATCATCGTAAAGTATGCTGTTTTTTTACCCTTTATCCTTCACCAATCTGACCTAAGTCATATCGAAAGTATGAGGATCCTTATTTACTGTGGAACCCCAAATGTTTACCAATGAAGATAGTGTGTATTACTATAATCATTTAAATAACTGTATTACTTTCTTTTTTTTTCTACGTAGATGCGATCCCGGGGTGGCGCTTCATCAGCTCTCGGAGCTGAGCGAGCTGAACGGGAACGTGAGCGAGCTGCTTTACTGCGTCACGCACGCGACGAAGCGGAGCGCTCGCTACAACTAGCTGCTGCCTTGAGTGCAAGAGACACTCAACTTCGACATGCAAGGGAACAATTATTTGAGGTGCGTAATTCGTTTTCGTAATAGATATTCATCGCACTACATATTAGGGGTCAAAGTATGAAATTGCCGATTTGTACAAAAAAAATATAATAACTCGGATTTTAGAACTATCCCTCTTTCACGTTTAATCTGAATAAAATACAATTGAAAGTTAAAAATTGAATCTTGCATATTTTTCAAAAGAAGTACTCATAGGTATTGTGTAAAAAATGATTCACACGAAAATCTCATACCATGAAGGTTTATGTCAATTCAAAGTATCTATTACTATACAACGGCAATTTCATACTTTAACCCGATCTTACGATTTTATATATTACATTCGGGTTTACAGTTAATTTACATTTCTGGAGGTGTACATAACATTCACCAGAGATTTTTAGGTTTTCATTTGTTCATATACGTTTTACAAAAAAAGCCGTGTGGTGTCGTGGGACACCCGATAGGAACGAAGTTGTTTAAAGTTAAAACTGATTTGACACGATATTAATTACAACGCCATCTATGAAAGCGGCTATTACCTACATGTTAAAAACAATTAAAACAATTTATACATTGGTAAAATCTCCTTGCGAAATGATTTCCTATCTATTCGATAGATGGCGCTGAATGTCTGACAAGATGACACGAAAAAATATTATTACTAATCATAGTTCATACTTTCATCAAATTCATGGCTTACGTTGTATGTTATAATAAGATTTACTTTAATTTAAAAAAAACTTTGACTGAAATCTGGGTAATAGTGTACATAGCATCAACTTCTTTTGATCATTAAAGTATTTTGAAATATATTTACTTAGTTTTATTTCCTAAATTCAAAATTTCAAGAAAAAAATATAATTTTGACATTTGGGTAGGCCGTGGAAACACTCAAAACCACCAGAAAGATAATAAAATATGAATTAACATTACAAGCCTACACTATACTCACATTTACATACTTACACAAAAAAAAAACTATACAATTCAAATTCAAAGAAAAATAAAATACGAAAACAAAATACGAAATACACCAAAAAAAAACCTGCGGTAAAAAATTAAATAAAGAGCAAAAAGCCAACATCACGTGGTATTCCCAGGCGGTCACCCATCCAAGTACTAACCACGCCCGATGTTGCTTAACTTCGGTGATCGGACGAGAACCGGTGTATTCAACATGGTATGGACGTTGGCGAACGTTAAAGCAAATTTAATGTATGGTATTCACAGTTAGACGTCAATTTATATTAATAAAAAAGTGTCGCGTCCCAAATTTTTTTATGATTTTTTTCTGTCTAGCCCCCTTTCACAACGCGCGATAAGGAACTTCGTTCCAAAAATAAGAAACCTTTGTATTGGATCCTCATTCTCGACTAAGTTAAAAAAATTAAGCACTTTCCAGGTACTCTACAATAACTATGTAGACTGTATTGTTATTTAAAGATAGCAGAAGCTCCCTACTCTTCACATAATTATAATAGATTCTAAGGTTATTTATACTGGGGTCTGAAGTGCAGGTTTTCACGCATCACTAATCAATAGTTTCAACCTATAAATTCAGTCGTACTCCATAAATTTTGACCAATTTGAACAATCAACATGAGCGCGTTTAATCAAATAAAACATTGGACATGCTACGTTTTCGATTCAACTTCGTATATGCAACTTAAATTGGCATTTTTATGCAAAGCTGAATTGTCAAACTTTCACAGTCGACCAAAACATAATGTAATGAAGTGATTAAATAAATAAAGTTGTACCTACCTATCGACAGACTGTATTATGACAAATAAATGGCGTGATGGGCGCTCGCCGACCATCCATCACCGCTGTTCCGTGTTAATTACCATTTCAAATTACTTCCTCTGATCTAAATTGCTTCGAAAATTAAACACAACCGTTTACTTCACTTACCATAAAATATAATTTATTACAAACTTACTTGTTCCTTTATTTCTATTCAAACATGAGAAATAATGCAATTGTTTAATGATGCAGGTGTTTGATGTTTTTCACATCACATTTTACACAACATGTATTTCAGAATGGATTAATTACAATACTTTATTAAAGAAAATGTATGGCTCTTAGTTCAAAAAGCAAAAGCATACTTACTCATTCATCTATTGACTTATCATGAAATCTGGAATGACTTGACCTATGAAAATTAAATTTGGCAGGGAGTTAGGTTAGGTTAGTTAGGTTATAATCTTGCGGAAGGAGGCGGCGGAGAGGGCCCGGGAGGACGACCTCCAGCCACCGGCGAACCGGGCGGCGGAGGCCCGCCTATCACCGCCTCATGCCGCCCTGAGTGTGGCCGCGGGTGGACGGGGTGGGTTTCCCCTCCACCCGCATTAGTTTGGCCAGCCGCGAGGGGGCGGCGTCCGCGTGTGCCGGACGTCGCCTAAAGAGAGGAAAAATATTGAGACGGAGCCCGCACCAGGAGCGGGCTGGCGCTAGGAGGGGTCCGGATGTCTTAACAACAGCTGTTCCCGGATCCCTCCTGTTACAGGCGCAGAGTGGCACACCGTGTGGTTTTAGTCGGTCCGAGTCCGACACACCACCCCGCCGCAAACCCCGGAGGGGTGACGGTCCGAGGGGATTTCCACACGTTAAAAAAAAAAAAAAGGTTAGTTAGGTTAGGAAACGTCAGCCAATAAGCGTTTCCGAGACAAACCCGGATGAAAGGGGCTAAGGTTAATAAGGGTTCTCGTAAGTATTTATCGATGTCCCTGGTAATTTGTACCAAAGAACTGAATTTTTATTGACGTTAATTTTGAAGTTCTTGTTCTCTTCTTTTTATACTCGAGGCCTGATTCATACGTCACGTCTTTATCCCTAAGGCCTGATATTTGGCAGGAAGTAAGTAAGTTTTTGAAGTAGGACATATCAGGTAAGAATGGATCATACGATAGAGCCGTGTCAAGAATCTCTAAAGACACCCTCAAAGTTATATGAAAGTCTTTGATTTTGTGTACCTACTAGAGACCTGGAGAAAATTTATAGGTAAGACACGTCTCAAGGTTTTCGCAACTTTTGTGAGAATTCTTTTGTTACTGAAATAAATTTGAGTTATTCTCCTTCATATTGTTAAATTTGTATTGTGATTGTAATATTCTTTTTACTTAAGGTAGGTAGTTAAAAAAACTTGATACTAATACGTATTTAGTCCTTTTATCAAAAAAATTACTTTATATCTTACGACCAAGCAGTTTATAAGCTGGATAAGTCAGCTAAGAAGAGATACAAAAATAATAAACAGATATACTGTGTTTCCTTATACCTACCACAGGTGTAGCCAGTGATAAGTAGTAGTTCAAAAACCAGCTAATTGTTAAAGCTCTGCAATTTGAATGTTAATTTATGAATAGCATCTAAATTGCAATTTCTATAAAATATAAGGGAAGAAATTAGGCAAAAACTCCCGGCACTATTTTAAATCTGCAAGTTAGTAGTACTTAGTTCAAAAATATTCCAAATTATTATAATACGGCACTAAGAAAGTCAGTAGGAGTAGCATTGTTTGTAAAACTAGATGGTACCGGTACTATGAAAATATGTAGAAAATAAATACAGTTAAACAGCAAAAAAAAGAGTACTCTATTTTAGATACACCGACAAAACGCTAAATAGCTCTATGCTTACTCGTCAGCACAGAAAAGGCTTGATATCATATGCTCTCAACAAACTGTAAATTAGCCGTAACATTACAAGCTTAAAAACATTTAATAAGTTTACTGTAAAATCTCCAAAGCCATTTACGTATATAATCCGGATATTAACCTGTGCTCGCTGAACGTTCGATGTCATTACATTGATATGGGCTCGGGATGTTCCATTCTACCGTCCAAATCCTGTTCAAATTGAACCCTTAATCGAAATTAATTCGAGCATTCAACCGGAGTGGAAATTATACAAGAACAAAATTATCAGTTTCCTAAAATCCTTGCAAATAGCCCATCGTAAAAGTTCTGTCTGTATTGATATTGAAACTGTGTGAGTAATCTGTAAAGATTTTGATTGTCAGTTACTCCTTTAGTTAATAATAGTTCTGCTACAATGAATGCTGTAAATTAAGTTACGTAGTATACCCGTGACCGCGATAACAACTGCCACTTTTCTAGCATGATGTACACATCCGCGTCATATTATAACTTTCAAATTGATTTTGCATTATTTATTTCCTTTAATACTAAAGTAAGCAATTAATTCCTAGTAAAAACATCTAAAAATGATAAAACTGAATAGATTTGTAACAACTGCCGATCTTGCCATCCTTGTAAAGAATTTTGTCTGTTATTATTTATTATAGGCAGACTGATTTATTGTTTTTTTGTAATTGTTTTCTAATTAGGCAAGAAGGCAATTGCAAGCAGCAGGATGCTTGTCGGAAGGCGAAAGTGTTGCATCACTTGGAATGGGACCGCCCATGATGCTCGGAGGACCATCAGGGTTAATTGGAGATAGGGGCAGTTGTAGCGCTGATTCGGGAGTCAGAGGTAAGTGGAAATAAGACATAGCTTTTTTTCTCGATTTTTCTCTCAGGGTACAAAAATGTCACTGTGTGAAACTGGGGGAAAATCTTTCGACTACTTCTCTAGTCTAAAAACAATATAGGAATCTTTAGGTATAAAATATTTACAATATCACGTGATATCGCTTCATTATTTTATGGAAGAAAGTTTCAGTCGCTTGTAGACCCTATCTAAGATTTGCTAATCGGTGAATGACCTAGGTAAAATACATCATGACTCCACGTTGAACCTACACGATCGAATTACAAACCTATAACCGTATAACTATTTACAAAAAAAATGATCTTAAGATTACTTAGTTAATCAATTAAAATATTTTTAATTCACATGCTTAATGTTTTCTTTTCGATTTACCAGAGGTTGGCTCACAGAAAAGACCAAAGGCATTAGGTCTGCCCACATTATGTCCTTAAAGTAAAAATAAATTAAAGATAAAAAAAACAAAGTTTATTATGTGACTTAAATAACTCAATTACGTAACTCGAAATTAAATTGATTCTTGGAAAACGAAGAGTAAAAATAAATTAAGCTTTGCATTTTGTTTTATTCATCTCGAGCAATACACAGAACTTTGTCTACCTCTAGTGTTGAAACATTTTCAGCAAACATTTCTTTTTGGTTCAGTGTACAGTTCAAAAACGGTACTCTAAATTTATTTAATGAATATTGCAATACGTTGAGTTTTCCAGGACTTCATGACTACTAAGATGACACCATTTAATTACTTTGTTTCTATTATAAAAAAAACGAATTGAAGAGATCTCGTGGTGCTACATCCATAGATTTGAGTTGATCTTACAACGCTATTAAATTAGTTCTAACTTTTTTAGTATCGAATAGAATAGTCTTTATTGTACACGAACAATCTTTTGCTTTTTTTTTGAAAAAAGAATACACGAAATAAATAAAATATACAAATGAAGACCTTATCGCTAAAAACCAATTTCTTACAGGCAACCTTTGGATGGACAAAACGACTGCTAATACTCAAATTCATGGGTAGTTTTGGCATAAAATTTTAAAAGAATAATAAAATAACTATACACCATACAACACTTGATTTAGTTAAGAGTAAATTAAAAGAGTATAATATTTCATTGATAAGCTACACTGGAGTAGGAGTCCCGAATAGTTTTTACGATCTTTCAACTCTCGGTATTCGAATTTACGATTTCATCTAAACAGGTGTAAATTAGTAATGTAGTGTGTAGTAGTGAAATAACACCGGCTAAAAACAAACCAGGAAATTAAAAAGAAGCAACATTTTTTTAATTACCTTCTTACTGAGATAATTTTAATGCTCTCACACATTATTACTCTGCTGTAAATTGTTCAGTACTTATTTATCCAGCAGTTTTCTAATGATGTTGCAGTATCATTAGTACATGTTTATTAATTTGATGTAATCTAGTACAATACAAAAGATTTTTGGTGTACAATAGAGGCCAGATTAATAAACTAACGTAGACAAGATATTCTATATATTCGTTGTTTTGACTGCCTCGGTGGTGCAGTTCGAGCGTTTGCGACTGTTTTGCTGAGGTCTCGGGTTCGATTAACGGGTCCGACCAAAAATTTGTATGATCTGCAAATATTTGGTTCGGAGTTTGAGTGTTTTCTGTGTATAATATGTATGTATCTACACAAAAAGTATTTAAGTATTCTATCAGTCAATCTAGCTTTCATGGTAGAGCTCTGCTTAGTTTGAAACTAGAGGTCGTTGTGTGTTACAATAAAGAAATCGAAGACCAGAAATCCAAACTCCAACGGGTCCACGTAGAGGAGTGGAAGGAACAACTTGGGCAACCGAGCGCCGGGCATGCCATTATCGCGGCGATTAGACCCGTTATGGAGGATTGGTTAGAGAGGCATCACGGGACCCTCTCATACCGATGGACGCAGGTGATCACTGGGAAAGGATGCTTCGGAGATCCCCAGTGTCTCATCCGCAAGGAGCCAACGCCTGAGTGCCACCACTGTGATGGCCGGTGGCGCGACCTCGTGGCGGCCATCGGGGTGGGATTTCTCTCGCTCGCTAACATGATTGCGGCCATAGTGCTGAGGGAAAGTGCGTGGAACTCTGCCGTCTCCTTCTGTAAGCAAGTTATGCTTGCGAAGGAGATGGCGGAGCGGGACCGGGAGAGGTTTAGAACTCTCCCGGCCCGCCAGGCCCAGGCACGCCACGGCAGGGCAGGCTGGGATGGCGGCGAGATCCGCTGCGGACAGCGCGTGCCCTTTTGATAGCACCAAGGCAACAAGGGGGTTCCCACACAGGGGGGGGGGGTCATCTACCCACCGTAGATGGCCCGAGGTACATCGGGGTACAAGGGATTTCCTTTCTAGGGACACCTGGTTCCCCGGCCACTGGTACCAGAGACGGCGTGCGGTTTTTAGTCGGTTCGAGTCCGACATAGCCACCGTAGGTGTACACCGAGGGGATTTCCGCACAGAAAAAAAAGGATAGTCAATTACAAATCAAACAACTACCATATCGATTGAGCGTTTAGAAAAGGACTGATGATCTGCAGATAGATTGAACAGATTTTCTTTAATTATAGCTAAAAAAAATCGATTGAAAAAAAAAACTGAAAAAAAATTGGTTCAACCATCCAGAAACTCTGATGCTACAGATAGTCACATAGAAACACACATTTCACTAATTACACACACTTTTTCGGGTCGGTCTTGTTAACAGGCAGCAGTGATGGGGGAGCGACATCAGTTTGCGGCGGAAACTTGTCTGATTCCACGGCTGAAGGGGCCCCACCGACCATCGATGCTTACGACACAGATGCTGTTTCCTTAGTGTCATCTGCTCATCATATCTATCAATGTAAGTATATAAAACGACAACCCGGTTTACTCATTTCTGTATTCTATATCCAGAAAAGCCTTTCTTATTGTATGTGGAATATTGTATATTCTGAACTAGCCAATTTCACATCAAAAGATTCATAATTTGCGACTTTAGGTGAATACTCGCACTTGCTTTTAATTTTAATAGGTACATTCGCTGTGTCACTTCTACTTTTGTTGCACTATTTATAATATTATATTTGAGTCTGTGAAAGAAACTCATTTACATATGTAAATTCTAATGATGTTTCAGAGAAGTAAATTTCGTATTCACATTCACATTCATGACACTAACTGAAATATACAATATATTGTGCACTTAATGCACAGCGCATTCAAATGTTCGTACATTATGGAGTTAAACGCTCTGCATCGCATCGCATCTCGAACACCGGGTGTTTAGAAATTGCTCTGAACTGCTAGAAGTACAGATGCAACCCGTTAGACAATAATCAGATAGCGTAAATGTGATTTTAATTTTATATTGACGTTTATTTAGTTTTAAAATATTAACATTTTTAGTCAGATTGATTAATAAACAACTTTTCTATCTGTTAAAATGTGTTAAGTTAATTTTCTAGAGAATATTACAAAACAAAAGAAGTAACGAACTGAAAGGATGATGAAGTCGAAACTGTTGAAAGTAAAATACTCATAACATATTTATTAACCTATTTTACACCATTTTTAGTACAAAAGATGAAAGTCAACACGTCAAAAAATCTATAAGTCTAAAGGTAGATCTATAAGTCTTGAGGTAACTAAAACCATCAAACGGGGTATTCTGGCTTCTGACGACGAGTTAATGGGCCGAGTACACTTTGGCCAGACTTGGGCCAAATCAAGTATACGTACTCGGATTTTTAGCCAACTCGGTGCCACTTCGGCGTGTTGTCGGTTTTTTGGGCACACTTCAAAGGAATCTTGGCGTAGCCTGGCCTGTGGTGCTTACACACTCGCCCATGTTCAGTTCGTCAACGGCGGCTGACGGGGTATCACACTTTTTAACACGCTTTATAATATAATACTTGACAATACACAAAACGTGAATTGTTCTAAAAATATTTTATGGACAGATATTGATAAAATAATAATAATAACTTTTTATTTTTGAACTAATGGAAAATTATTTTCTACTTTAAAAGTAGTTCGGCTTTTTTAATCTATAATTTATTTCTACATACTGTAGTAGATTAAAATATAAGAATATAATATAAACGTAGGTACTGGTTTCATATATTTAAAGTTACATCCATAAAATAATAACTTGCAAAACGCGGTGCTTTAGGAGGGCTCGCGAAGTTTTCTACATGTATTTTTTGATTTTATAATTTATAATATTATAAGTATACATTATAGATTGTTACTCCGTTTCGGTGACAGATGTAAAAAATTAAAGAGGCACAATTTATACCAAGTCCACTAAGCCCAATTTCGATGCGATGGAAAAAAAAAACGATTGTCACCATTCAAACTACATCTAAAACTAATAATTAATTACTCATTATTTATTTAACAATCAAAATATACATATTAATTCTTTAGTTTTCTACCAGATGGCGTTAGTTGTAACAGTCCTGTTGATGAAATGCACACGTCTTATTTGGTTTTATAATTTTCAACAGATGGCGTTAGTGATACAAGTACATTCTAATTAATAAAAATTGAAATATTTTTATTTTTTTTAAATGTGTAGTTGTTGGATTTATTTGTGATTCATGGGTTACATGCAGGTGTTTATTACAAAATTATTAATGATGTTCATTAAATGATCTGCCAGTTGGACATAATGATGATGAATGATTAAATAATATAATGAAAATATGAGTATTATTATTTAAAATTATATTATATTAAAAAAAAAAAAAACTGATCATTAGATAAAAATTTCAGTGAAGATTATATATAAATTCTATTATTACTATTAGTCATGTCAGACACAAGAGAGTTAACAACATTCAATTATCGCCAACATTAAACATAGACATGAAATATTTTAAAAAATCTAGTCGATAAAAATTCAGCAACAGTGTAATAGCAATTTTATGTGGGAAATTGAATAAATATTTGTAAAGACATAAATGTTGCCACATTCTTTTATATCATTAGGAATCTTATTGTAGATCTTTGCGGACATAGCAAACACTTCCCAAAGAGAGTAGTTATATAGTGACAGGTAAGGTTATTATACAAATGACTTCTATTTCACGATTTAAGCTCCAATGTAAACAGTGACGGATGATGTTTAATAAACATGCCATTTCAAAAATATATTATCCGGTCGGAGATGTTTGGGCTATCGACGATTCGAGTCGCTCTTCGTTAGATGCGGTCAGGAGGGAGAAGCTTGTACTGCATAGAAATGAGCACAGTATTTCATATGCACCCGGAATTGCGCCTTATAAAGCTGAAGGCGGTGGGCCGGAGTGAAATCCTACCTCAATCTGTTCAGCACACCGAGCTTCCTCAAGGCCAATTTGACCTTACCTTCTAGGTGGCCTCGAAACTGTACTTCGCTCGATATGTCGATGCCTAGGAGTTCGATACAAGCTAAGGCAGTTAGGGAGGTGCTCTCAAACCGAGGTGATACGACAAATTGTAGCGTATTTGCGGTGAGCGCATAGACCTGTGTCTTTTTTGGGTTGAACTGGACTAGATTTAGTCGTCCCGAATCTGAAACCGCCGCTAAGGAAGTTTCAATTTCAGACACAAGTTTGTTTTGACTCTCGATGACGTTTTCCCGAGAAATATTGGGGCGGCCGGTGTAAAGGGCATCGAGACCGTACTTTTTGGATCTGCATAGCAACGGATGCTACTAGTTTGCAACATGTCATTGATATGCAGAAGAAACAGTGTGGGTGATAGCACACAGCCTTGCGGGACATGAGAATTTACGGATTTCAAGTCGGAGCATGTACCGTCGACAACGACCTTAATGCTTCTGTCCGCAAGGAAACTGCTGACCCAGTTACACAATTTATCGGGAAGCCCATTGGAAGGGAGCTTCAAGAGAACCTGACAGACCAGATCAAAGGCCTTCGCTATGCCTAAACTAACCGCACAGGCCTCTCCCTTGGTCTCGATCACCTGTGCCCACCGGTGTGTTAGAAAGACGAGAAGATCACCAGCCGAGCGACCCCGGCGAAAGCCATATCGTCGGTAATTGAGTAGCTGGTGATCATATAAGTACCGGAGGAGCTGGCAGTTGATTATGAATTCCATAATCTTAGAGAACAAAGGAATTATGGCTATAGGCTTGTAGTTGAACGGGTCAGAGTGGTCACTTTTTTTAGGGATCTGGTGCACAAACGCTACCTTCCAGGAGTTAGGAATAACGCCTCGGGAGTAAGACAGTCGAAAAAGGCGCGTTAAAACCGGTGCCAACTGCGGAGCACACATCTTCAACACTATAGGAGAAATTCCATCGGGCCCACTCGACTTATGAATGTTGAGGGAAAAGAGTGCATTACGCACAGATTTTTTTATGAACCGGATTTCCGGTATCTCTCTGGTACCCCGGTCGAGTCGAGTTAGATGCAAAGAGTTTGCCTAGGAGAATAAAAACAAAGTAGTAGCATTCCCGCTTTCGGCGAGACGCCGCTTTGCAGGATCGGTCAAACCAGGGCTTGGATCTGCCACCGATGGGAATTAATGTGGAAGGAACGAATAGACCTTATATTGCAGAAATTCACGTCAAGCGTGGCTAGGGGTGGCCTGATGTACCTGCTCCCGCCGCAGGTAGATATCCTATGGAGCGCTGCTGGTCTCTCCCCCCCCCCCCCCTCCCCAGAATACGTACAGCCTAGATATCATCGTCCAGACGCATGGTGTTCTGAGCGTGGACATCCAGAGGAGGATTCTCCAACCCTAGCGCAGCTAGTGTGTGTGTGTATTTTTAACTATACTGAAAATTATTATTTAGTTAATTAATAGTACTTTCAACTAGCCTAGTTTATCAAAAAACAATTTTTAATTAGATACCAGAAAGAAATTTCAAATTACTTTATTGCGATAATGGGTAGGTACACATAAATAAAAAACCCTTGTATATACCTTATAAAATTAAATACTGTTCGAAGCTTGTGGTTTTGCGAATTTAACTTTGGATCGTAAGTCACGCGTCCAACTAATTTTTTAGAGAAAATCTAGTTACCAAAGATTTTTGGTATGCGAATATTTAAAAAGGAGCTCATTAATTTCATTATTAAAAGTTCGACGACTGCTTTTACCCGTGAAGCATTTTAGCGTGAAAAACTGAAAGAGTAAAGTTTCCGCACGAACAAAGTTTTTTTTATTGGAGGAAAGTTTCTTGACAATAAAATCTGATTGTTTTGTGTAATGACAAGCGCAAATTGGTGACAGTTTAGATTAGATTATTTAGCCATTACTCTGGAGAGATGCCCATGGACGTCCAAAAGGAGAGGGGGAGGGATGCAGGGGATGGTAGCTGACAACAATTTTATTAAGCTGGTGTGCGTGTCAGCTACCTTTTACAGTCACGAAACTGTTCTTTACTGCCACGTGTATATTACATACTGGACATATAGATGATCTCAGGTGACAATTGTTCTGTCATAAAATGAAGATACGAACTTCGTATTTTTACAGCTTTATCACCTTGTTTTATAAGTTTCTCAAATATGTAATTTATACATATACATACTCGTATCATTGCGCGATTGGAAATAATAACAAATTTAAATTATTGACGCTAAATAACTCTTTATAATTAGCATTAAAATAACTAAAGAAAATAATTTACTTTTAAAACATGGAAACGAAAAAAATCTTATAAAACAATTTAATTAGATTTTTATGTTTATATTATGTTTTATGTTGACCATTAGTGGTTACGGTACACCTTTAATCGGAATGGGTCAGTAGAAGTACATCGTTTGAATTGTATTGTTAAAACTAGTTTGAAAATACTATTAGAACCAAGCATTTTCTCTTCAAATTTTGTAAATACATCATTAATAGTAAATATGACATTTTGCTCTGTTCTTGTCTTAGTGAGCACACCACGGGACTGCAGCCCTACTTTGTCGCCACATAACAGCGCATCACCTTTCACACGCTCCATTGACGCTGGATCTCTTTCAAGGTAAAAAAATATCCTAAATCATAATATATCCTAATAAAATTTATCCTAATATCACGTTAATGATAATTAATATAAACAATTAATATAATAACTAATAGTATTGAAAACACGGTTTTATTCCGGCATATTTCATTCTTAAAAAGGATACGTTTACTATTTAATTGATTAATATCTTTACATTTCATAGTTAAGTCCTTGCTAGCTCAAATATTGATTCACAACTTTATAACTTGAAATATGATTTTAGGAAAAAAGAAATGATTTTGTAATCAACACAAATATACATATGTACAAGCCAACACAGTATTTTATCTAGAGCTTCTTGAATAAAGGTTCATAATAACGTGATAATCATTTCCCATAATATGCTAATATATTTCTTACTATTCCATAATAGTAATCTCGGCAAAAGGTGCAATTTTGGTTATGGTCACTTAAACGTTGTTAATTAAACCGAATCAGTCGGCCTCTTATTGTGAATTACCCTAAAGGCCAATTACTTCGTATTTGTAAATACCTGCTGTTTTATTGGCCAAGAGTTGTCGGTAATAAGCACATTGTAAGAAAGGTTTAGAAGAATATGAAACAGCGAAAATTCAAAAGCCAATAAGATCGGAGACATCCTATTACTTTTACGGTGGCTACTTTATTATCGTTCGCGATATTATCGAATTTTGACAGCAAAATTTATCGCGTATTACGAGATTTAGCCCGCGATTCAGCAATAGAAAATGCCAAATTTCATTTTTACAGTTTAATTTTTTCATACTCCATTACTGTTCGCTCCCGAGCGACAGTATCATTCATCTCGCAATATTATATAGGCAAAGTAGGCATTGAGCGATTAGAGTTCGTCATTTCTGTCAAATATTAAAGGGGCAAAAAAGTATTAAACTCGCATGGTAACGGCATACGCATGAGTTAAGCAAGTGTAGCGCGAAAGAGTTTAGTGCGCAAAAGCGCAAAAGGTGTTACAGACTTCTAGGACCGACCCCGATCTCCTGGGATATTTGTCTTTTGGATTGCTTTTCCCTCGCATCCTTTTTTTTTCTGTGCGGAAACCCCCGCGGATACAACCCACCGGTGTTTATGTCGGACTCAGACCGACCAAAAACCGCACCATGTCTCGATTACCAACTAAAGCAACGGCTATGATATTATCAATAAATATTTAATTGGGTTATTGCAGTCTGCCTCTTCTCAACTGTAACACGTAAAATATTTCATAGAATTGCAATATCAACAGAGATCTTTAGATTTGTTGAATAAAAAACATCTTATAGTACAAGCGACCATATACTCGTAAGTAGTTAGTCTTTTAGACTTAGTTTAATTGGGACGCTTTCCAGTACTAAGGTTGCCCTCAAGCTGGGGATTAGGCTTATTCACGTAAATATAAAGATTAGTATCACCGGTTGTGTGATTAATGATAATGCCATCAAAACTAAAAAGTTAGGTGATCTGAGTAATTTAAGTTAAATATGTGCATGCTGCTATCTCATACAAAAACTCATTATTTTATGAAGTTGAAACAAAACACCCGTCTCATAGGTCAGTAGAACAGCTGTCAAGTCCAGGTGAGTGCGAAACTGCTCTTCTTGGTGGAGTTCGCGGTCGCGCTGGAGGTCCCGGAGGCAAAGGTTCTCGTGGACGGGGCTCAGCCTGGGGCTCTATTTCGCGAGTTTTTGCACGCTCTAGACACCGCACTAAGTCTGGCAGTGCGGCTGCTAGTGGACACGAGAGCGGTGAGTTTGTACTAATTTAACCTTTATTTGAATTGAATTTGTTGTGTACAACAAAAACTAATTATTTGTGTTTTTGCAATTTTTATTATAATAACAATTCCTTTGCTGTGAATTTCCAAACCATTATGTGCAGTGCTAAGAATCCTGTGTGATCTTTGTCAAGAAAATATAGATCTATTTTTTTATCCTTACACTTTGTACACAAAAGTCCTGCAAAATGAAAATACTCCCATTTATAATAATAGCTTAAATTCAAAATTATGTTATAAAAACAAAATATTAACAACTCTCATTTTTTTTACCTGTTGTGTGTATGTACCCTTTAATTTACATATTGGTTGTACCTAATCTTCTGTACACCTATGATAGCAATAACGGCTTTTGTAAAGTAAGACTGTAAAAGTTTTACAGCCTGTATATATCCTTATTAAGTGTTGTCAACGCTAAGAAAATCACACATGCAATACTTATTCATTTCAAATTGTTTTCGATACTAAAATATATATCGGCAAAAGATTTACATAAATTTGAAAAAAAAAGCAAGTCCTAGAATAATTTCTGTCACAACTTGCCACAATCAATCATAAAATAATTGAAGACGACATCCTCAAACATCTAATAGAACACTCCTGTCCAGAACCAATCTACTCAGGTAGCGGGGCCAGAGCTTGGTCACCGCTCGGCAGTGAGGCAGCGTTACGCGAAGCAGCTTCTCTACCTCTTGCGAGATGGCGGGCACCCGCCATTATTGCCTGGCTTGAACTGGCGCTAGGCATGCCCCAGTATGCTGCTGCAGTTGCTGATAATGTCAAGAGTGGCAAGGTCAGTAATCTATACTAATATTATAAAGCTGAAGAGTTTGTTTGTTTGGTTGTTTGTTTGTTTGTTTGAACGCGCTAATCTCAGGAACTACTGGTCCGATTTGAAAAATTCTTTCAGTGTTAGATAGCCCATTTATCGAGGAAGGCTATAGGCTATATATCATCACGCTAAGACCAATAGGAGCGGAGCACCAATGAAGAATGTTTCAAAAACGGAGAAAATTTATTACTATTGAGAGACGCAGACGAAGTTGCGCGGGTCAGCTAGTAGTATATATATCGTATATCTGCCTAGTACTTTCCAACCAGGTCGTGATTATCTACAAGCACTGGAAGGTTCATCAGAATTAAAGGGTTGTATAGTATTCTGTCAAGGCGGTCGTTGTTTAAATACTAAATAAGTATATTATTATGGTCAAATAATTAATAACATTTTTGTATATATCACATGTATATATTATAGGTAAGACGAGTAGTTTGATATTATCAAATATTGGAGCTTGATTGGGTTTCGAAATAGAGACTTTTCATCTTATTTATTCTTGAGCACTCTTCGCTTTCATTTACTTATTTACTTTACATATTACTAATATAAACTCATTAATAATGGTAGGCCGTATTTATTTTCTTTATAAAATAGTAAAGTTTATATATTATATTACATTCTATGCAATAGGGATAATAAGTTAACTTTTAGATTGAAAATAAAATGCTTTCTTAACTAGTTTTTCTTCATGTTTGCATTAAGTACATCTGCTATATTTGAAAATGATGTGATGATCTTTGAAGGTCCTCTAGTAAGCCCCGTAAATAACTTAGACGTTAACAATTTTAGGAGAATAAATGATTTTTAGATCAGAAATCAGACATCGAATTTACACATTTTAAAGTTAAAGAAAAAGAAGAATGACTCTCATTAATGTCAGTCCTATATACAAAAGTTTATATTTAATATCAAGATGGAATGTCTTGGAAAATAACAGTGAAATAGAAATACATCTTCATAACAATTAAAAATAAAACTGTGTCAAAACATAACGTAACGCTCCTGAAATTATATCACACCTTTCTGTAACACTAGAATTCTCAAAATAAAACTATGCAACACGAAAACCTTAGTCCTGGGTTTGGAACTAAGCTGATCTGAAATTCCGTGGGTTGTTATATACCATAAATGGAAAAAAACAGATGTACTGTTGCCTAATACAAAACTAACAGTAACAAAGTAGACATAGGAGACATGAAGGCGTTGACAGAATCGAATTGAAAACGTTCACATTTGCACTAACTTAGATGGGGGCAAGCCTACTGCTTGAGTTATATCATTTGTATTATGTTAATGCAAAATAAAAAGAAATAAATTGACAAGTATAATACCTTCAAAAAATTACTCGTAAAATAGCTCATTATGGGATAATTAATATTTAAACATAAAAAAAAAAATGTTCACAAAAAAATATCCTAATCTTTTTGCCTTTTTGTTATCTTCTTGGAAATTATAGAAATCGTAGTCTTTAGTATCTGACCTGAATCATTTTTTTTTATGTTAAAGGGTTGGTTGGATTGATTATTGACTTCTTTGTACCAAATAAAAAAACTTTTTTATGAGTGAATTCTTAAATTCGAACTTTCTAAACGGCTACCACGTGCTATTTATTCGAAGCATTTTCTATTGCTTCCACCGACTCAAATATGAATTTCCTTAACTGTTTAGCGCTCGCTTAAAACTTAATAACTTTACGGAAAAAGATACAAACGTAGTTACATACATATTACGACACATATACGTAGTCAGATGGGTCTTAATGGAAATTTATTTTCAGCTTCCATTTTTAAAGTAAACCTTAAATTCAATATTTACATATCGGACGCTCGTAACTCAGGGCCAAAACGACGTGGATTATTTTTTCGTAAAAAAACAAATGGAATAAAAAAAACATTTTCATTACCCTGAATCCATTCATTATTCAAAATGTGCTTATTTTATTGGATTTATATGGAAATCAGCCTAATATAGAACTCCAGATAAATTGGTAACAGAATATGTTTATTTTATATTTGCATTCCATAGGTTTTTGAAAACATTCACATTAATGAAACTTATTTATATCGCGATCGACATTGCAGGGTATGAATACTAAAATGCTTAGGAAATACATGATAGTAGAGCGAGAGACGCGCATTAAGCGTCAAATATTGTGTTCTGGTTGGTTCTAGATCCGTGCTTTGAATGGGCAGGTTCTGCTCGAGTTGTCAGATGCGGATCTGGAGGTGGGGCTAGGCATCTCGCAGCCGATGCACCGCAAGAAGCTGAGGCTGGCGATTGAGGAGCGTAGAAGACCGGACCTCGTGCGAAACCCAACAATAGGACAACTGACTCATGCTTGGGTTGCTGCTGAATGGCTTCCTGATTTGGGATTATCACAGGTATTTGTAGCAATTACTCGATTTCCATTACGATTTTTTTGTAACGAGCACATCTTTTTGTAAAAGTTATGTTCGACTTATTTAAAGTGTAATAAAGTAAACATAGGTATTTTGTTTATAAATTCAAACTAACTATTTTTAACCATTCAGTTTTAATAACTACAAAACAAACGAGGATGTTAATTACATGAATATATCAGGATAAATATTATGAAGAAAAATAGGACTTTGGTTTACTTTTGTGATAGAACTGGCACTCAACATACAAATACTCTGGATAAAAAAATGATGGCAATAGTGGTATCGTCTTATTTACCTGAGTTTTCTATTTTTTGATATTTTTTTATTTATTTAATAGTATGCTGAATCCTTCCTTGCAAATTTGGTGGATGCTCGGATGTTGGACACTATTAGCAAGAAGGAGTTGGAGAAGTACCTGGGCGTGACAAGGAAATTCCATCAGGCATCTATTGTGCATGGCATACATCTTCTCAGGATCATGAAGTATGATAGACAGGTTTGTAGTATAGTGATATATATGATAGTAAACAGTACTTGAGTTGCTATGATGTGGATTCTGTTTTTTGTTGTTTTAAAAATTGATGGAGAATAGTAAATTCTTACAAAATTGAACCTTGAACCTCGACACAGCAGGACTTTACTAACACTAAATACATAGGTTGAAGACAAAGTGCAATCTGTTATTAAAAATGAAGTATTAACTGTTTATATATGTAGTTACATTATAAAATAAACAAAAAAGAATTCGCAGTATTTTCAATCTAAATATAGCAATAGGGATGACATTTATAACTGCAAAATAAAATCTTATTTACCAACGTAACGGGAAAACCTTTCTACGTCCCCTTCGATAAGTGGCGTGAGATAACGAATAAGCAAATGAGCGATTATCCAATGAGCTGGAACAAAATGTTCCGTCTCGTGCCCGTAATGTACACTCATTAATCACTGTGTACGATTTTTTTTTGGTTCGACTCTTCTGAAAACATGTTAAGTCACTTTTCATTATTTGCTTTACTTTTAATAAATCGCAGAGTATTTATTCATTGTTTCAGTTTTTATGTCAACGTATATTTGAATTACAACAAATCATAAATAAAACAAAATTTGAATGCAAATTAAGAAACAACAAAAATGTTTTATCGAAGTTTTTAAACAAGTTTCTCGGATTTAACATAAAGTATTTTATATCCTGACTATATTTGTTATTTTCAAACTTTAACGAATCAATCAATCAATTTTGTAGGTAAGAGATATAAAGAAAAAAAAGCCGTGTGGTGTCGTGGGACACAAGATAGGAACGAAGTTGTTACGATCGAGTAAAACTGATTAGACACGATTTTAATTACAACGCCATCTATGAAAGCGATTATTACCTACATTTTTTTCAGTTGGTTTCTAATTAAAACAATTTATACATTGGTAAAATCTCCTTGAGAAATGATGTCGAATACAATATTTTTTGCTCAATCTAAGAACATAAATTTTTATTTTACTATTCGATAGATGGCGCTGAATGACTGACAAGTGACAATTCAAAATAAAAAGTGTCGTGACCAATTTTCGTAAGAATTTTTTCCGTCTAGCCCCCTTTCACAACGCGCGATAAGGAACTTCGTTCCAAAAATTTTTGCAGGGATACTTGCCATCTAAAATAAAGTAGTACAATCTAATAGAAAAAAACTTTTAGTAGCGAAGCCGAGGTCAAAACCTTTTAAGCATTAAAGTACATTGATATATTTATTTACTGACAGCTCACCTAAACATGACCTAAAATAAACATTAGTCAATATATTATATGTTTCAGAATGTCAAAAACCTGTATAGTTTTTTTATAAAGAGGACAGTATCATATATTTTCTGCCCTAGTGGTGTTCTAACTACATATTTCCCTTAAGAATCACTTATCTCCTATAACATTCGTTGTGTCATGACCAATATTGCATAATCAATTCAAACAGCATGTTTGTCCATTGATTGATATTTGATTTGTTTGTTGTAGGCTTTGGCCGTGCGGCGGCATCAGTGCGAGAACGTAGATGCCGATCCTCTAGTGTGGACCAATCAGAGATTTATGCGATGGGCCCACAATATTGATTTAGGTGAATTTGCAGAAAATCTCAAAGGTATGTTTTTTTATTTGTAATGGAATTAAAGTACGGCCGCAATGATGAGCCGCAATCAAGCTTTGATGTCTCATCATTGCGGCCGTACTAGTATTTAGCTTAGAATTGTAAAAGATTTCATATCGTTTAAAGGACTTTATCACTAATGTATGAATACCATAATTAGATTTTTCAAATTCCTTGCTTCAGTCTATTTCACCACTTTTAATAAAATATAATTATAGTTTAAAGAAATCAAAGTAAAGAAAAAAGTAGCAAATAATTTTTAAACATGTTTTTTTTTACTAAAGCGAAGTCATGTGCACTGAATATTTTTTAATACATTTAACTTGAAAAAAAAACTTGTTGGTTAGCATGAAATATACACGTTTTAACCCATTGTGGTTGTTACGTTATTTCTGATCCATTTAGATAGTGGAGTTCACGGAGGTCTGGTTGTACTAGAACCGTCATTCACTGGCGAGACCATGGCAACAGCACTTGGAATTCCACCTTCAAAAAGCATTATCCGGCGGCATTTGGTCGCTGAATTCGATGCACTCGTCATACCTGCCAGGTAAGTCAATACAAACATTAATTTGCATACCAATCGCTGAAAATATAATATTTACCACAGACACCACAATTTTGCGCGTACTCATTGATTTATACAATTTCCACCGCATCAATCAAAGCAGAGTCAATATGTTTCCACTGATTGCATATGTATCTATGTAAATGTTATGTTTTCTTATTCTATGAGTTATTTATCAACTAATGTCCTCGAATTGTAAGCAATATGTTTTGAAAAATGAGCACATTAAATCACTTGCAAGGTTTATAACATATCCCTAAATGCATAACATTGCCCCAGTAAGTTAAAAGATAGTATGTAAGTGGCTACATGGTTATCGAAACTATGGTCAGCACAAATGCATGAACCCAGCTGTGTGAGTTCTCGTAGATATCACAATTACTAGTGAGTGGGTGACACATCCTGTAGGTGAGCAAGCTGTAGTTGATTATAATGTGAGGTGCAATCCTGCAGGTATACGATATTTTGCCAGGTGGAAGAACTGCAAGTGGAGGCTGCCCGAGCATCCATGTTGTCCACAAAACAAAGATAAACCCACAAAAATAAAAAAACTCTCATTTAAAAAATAAAATTATTCGCTTCGGTGCCCAAACCTGTATCTATGTAAAATTTCCTGTATCAAATTTTTGTAAAGCTATTTTTACACAAAATTTTGCTTTGCAAAAGAAAATTTTGTATCTATCCACCGTCAAAACTAGCTCGAGTGTGAAACTTTTTGATGGCAACCTTTACGAGCGGTGAAGACTGATAAGTTATCGTAGGGATCGTGGTTTGTAAACAGAAGAATATCGACAAGTTGGAGCGATCAGACACATTCACAATAATATATTTTGTACCTTACCTACGCCTTCGTCAATGTTAGATTCAATGTTGGACATTGTGACCCCCTAGAGTCCCGATCTTGCCGTAGATTAGATTCACGTTAATGTTTATTCGAGATTGATCAATTTGGTAAATCTAGTAAATGTATACAACTTAGTTGATATTATAAGGATAAGCATGAAATGCTTATTATTATTTATAGGAAATGTCTTTTATCTCAATACCTGCATTCACTATTAAGGATCCGTTTCGATTTACTGACGATTTTTCAAGTAATTGTAATAATCTAAAAAAGTATTTTTAAAACAATTAACAATATTCATAGTTATAAAACGGTACCATTCATTTATAGCTTTAGGATTAAAACAATAATAGCGTTTACTGTAAGATAAATATGTTTTTGACGTGTATACATTCATACTGTAAAGTTAATAACATTGTATATTAGGCTCACCTGTAATGATATCGATTAAAATATAAATGTGAATAAATCCTAATGAAAAAGATGAACCTAAGGGACATCGAGTCAGTTTCTTTTACTATCCATCAACCCTTAACCGGGCGATCCTTGCATCGAGACAGAACGGTAACGATCATTTTATCGATATATCATGAATGCCTCTCTGTCATCATCATTATTAGATCGCACTACACATTATCAGAGTCTGTCCACTTTTCTCCTTCCATGTAACATTACGTTTTGTTATCAATCATTTACAACACGTTGATATCTCGTGCTTGATGGATTTACTTTTAATATTTTAATTGTATTATTTGATTCGTGCGTGCAGAGAAGAGTACTGCCAACTTCAAACAAAGCTCTTTGGATAATCGCTAATGTTTATTCATGTGGTGTCCAGTACTTTTTTCTGACCTTAAGCTCATAAATGTTTACTCGTGTATTCCTTTTCATTTTTATCATATTCGTACACAACAGCATGGTTCGTATGATTTTCAGCAAAGTGCATCATGCTTTTGATGTCTATGCAAATAATTAAATTACGATTCAATTTTTAATGTCTTTTTGTAGTTTACAGAGAATACACGTCTGTGAAAATTAACAAATTGATGGTTTTTTTCCTATTGGGAATAAATTTAACTATCGATGCCCTTTAATCTAACCAAAAAAAATTGCATGACGGCTTTCTGTGTTAGCAAATAATAAGCACAATATTTAGTGCAAATTTGAGAATATAAAGCGACAATAATTAAAAGCAAATAATGTCCTGCCTGGCTTAAATATTATCTCAAATTTGTACGAATAGCTTTGTGTAGTGAAATCAAACTATAATTGGTTTTCAGAAACTTGTTTGGTCACCAAATCAGGATGTTGGGTAGACCGTTCTCAAGGTCCGTTGCGACTGGATTACCGGGGATCGATCTTAGCGCAGATTCCCGAAGGCACAGTTTGAGGGTAAGCTACTTATTACTTGCTAATCACAATTGACTTTCTCTCTTCAATGTAAATTTACAGAGACTATTGAGAGTTTGTGAAGTTTAAATAGATATGTTAAAAGCCGCATATTCTCGTACGCTCGGCAGTTCATGGTTAAGTCAGTAATTTAAACAATATTGTTTAATGATATTATTATATTGTTAGTATACTTGGCAAGCACTGCTATTTCAGTTTTTGAATGAGGAATTCTTAATGTATTTTATCTACGGCTTACGTAACAATACTTTAAATAAAGAATTCAAAATAAAGAAAAATCTTAAACAAGACAATTACTAACTTCAAGAACAATTTTGGAAGTTAAAAGATATGTATCATAAAAAATAAGCTATTCATTAGGTTCTGCAATCCACACGTAAACAAATCCACATGCAATAAATTAACATTCTGTATTATGACTAACATGTTACATCTCACTTTAAAATTTTCTACAACTTAATAACTATATAATAACCATAATAACTATATATATACTCTGTATAGGTATTATGTAAATGTATGTATTTGTGTATATATATGTTTAAGAATGTAGTTAGGTGTGTATTATTTAGACATCGATACTAGCATCACATGGGCGTGGGATAAAAAAATTATTCACTGTTAAATACTTTTCTGTTATACGATAGGTCTTGTAGTAACCAATAGGCCATGGGTTTCACATAGTTAGTAGAATACAAAAAGAGCAAATCTATTGCGTTGACAGTCAATTGATACAATATTAAAATAACAGAAATGGTTTTTATTAGATAATTATTTCAACAGGGCTCAATAACTCGAGCTCTCGGCGTTCTCAAGTCAAAGCACGACCGGACTTCACCATCCAGTTCGAGTGAGAGCTCAAGTGTGTTGAGTCTGACGCAACCGTACGCGTCATACTCACCCCCGATAGCGGTGCGTACGTTGTCGCAGTTGAGTATGACGTACGCGCCACCACCAACACTGCAGGAATACGAGCCAATATACACACCGCTCAGTCTCTACTCACAGTCCAGCGTATCGACCAGAGACAGTCTGCAGCGCCTCAACGATATTAACGAAAACTCAAGTATCACTCATAGGTAAGTGACTTATAGTTATATCTTTTTATAAATAACCATGTTAAAGTTACTTTCTGAAAGAACCCTTTGAGAACATTATCTAAATAATAATGTGCACTATATATTATTTCCTCCCATGTGTATAGAAATATTGTACGAACATCATTTAACGAATGATTATTTTTAAATCGATTCGCAAACCTTTGTATAGGGGCGGCACAAAATTCTTCATTGTAAAAGAGGTTTACCAACAAACCTATATTTGTCCTTTTTCTTCATTTCTCTCTTCTTTCTTAAATGCCGTATACTTAAAATCATGATGATAAATTGTGAAATTATAAAAAAAGCAATTGTTTTAATAAAATTGTTACAAAACAAATCATGTATTATCATCTTATTCAATAGAAAGTATTGTACGGTATTTTCTCTTTGATACTAAGCTTTAGAGATGGACTAAATAAATACTAAGACAGATTACGTTTTGTAATACTTCTTTTTTTTTTAAACATATGACTTCTTAGTAGTAAACTTTTATCTAGATGTATTCTATTGTCTCAATATCTAAATGTGTGTAAGCAAGTAGAAGCAGTTATTAGTAACTAATCAAAACATAATATCTCAGGTATGGAACAAAGGCAGATCATGCTCATCGAGTGAGTTCCCCTCTACCAGCCAAGACCACAGATGACGTTGTGAAGCAGAAACGGCACCGCCGCGTGAAAAGCATTGGCGATATTAATGCGTGTACTAAAACTCCCGTTTAGAAACACCTTTAATAAGTCCAATTTTACTTACTTATTCTTTAAAATGAAATCAAATCGTTTTTACCTTTCGCTGCTTACCTCCTTTACATATCAACTCTAACTGTGTATGTTTGATCTGCTAAATAACACTGACTTGTAAAACTATAAATTATATTTTAAAAAGTTAGTAAGCATAATGAAGTTACAGGCAGTTAAGTCTAAACTCCCTCCCTTAAGTCCTACGTTACGTTTAAATATCTGTCAAAAGCATTTACATAGTTAATCTCTAGGTGTAAAACTGAACCCAAACATAGATACGAGTAAATCATTTAAAATAAATTAATAGCATCAAAATGTATAATACCACAAAGTGAATAGGAAATAAATTAGTCGATTTATAAAAATATTTTTTAGTAAAGTTCAAAATAAATTAATTAATAAATTTCCTTAATTTGAAATGTGTACTAACTACTGATAGTACTTATACTACATTTCAATATTAGCTATATGTTTTGTGAAACACTTGTACACTAAATCAAACGAATAACTTATTAGATACATCCATCTACTCTGGTATTTGATAAAAGATTTTTAGGTCAAAATTCGTTAAAAGGTATTATTGGACTTTTCTTTCTTCGGTTAAATTTAAAAAAAAATTGGAATTTTCTTTCTTCTATTATATTAAAATTATTTGGACTGTCCTTCCTTGTCCTTGAATCGATACTGGTAAAGATTTAAGTTAAACCATAAAACACTAATTACCAAAGAATACTTAAAACCAAAGTTTGTGAAGAGTAAGTTTATTTAATTTTGTACAAAGTCGCATATCATTACTATAAAATACAATACCGTATGAATTCGTGAACGCAGAATAGATTGAGTTTAAATATAGTAGAACATGTCTTATGATATTCATTACCTTTAACTGAATTATAGTATACAGTATGCATAATATGTGTAATTTTAGATGTATTCACTTAGGCCATTTCACTTATAAACATTTCTGAAAATGTATTTCTTGATGCAAAGATTTCAGTAACTGTTTAAAAGATTTATAAAGTCCTACATGCACATCGATACTTTTACATATTAATATTAATATATATTGTACTCGATTACTATTTCGAATAAGTATTTTGCAATTACTAAGCGACTCATATTTTACAACAATGTAAAATGTTGAACACCGGATGGTTGTGTAATTTATTGAGTTTACATTTAAAAAATACAAATGTTTATTCGAGAAATGGTAGTAATGGTCACTACCCACGCTGTATTTACTTGCGGTACACTGTGATAACTAAATACTCACACGCATTTAATAAATTAGGAGCTTTTCACTTCGATGTCACATAAACAAGGTTCTATACAATTTAAACAAGAACATCAATACGAGTACATACTAAGTACATTCCAATCGAGCTTGAATATCAATACTTTGATATTAATGTGTATTTTAATGTTTTTGTTATACTTTTATTGTTTTTTGAAATATTTATTTTGTATTTCATGTGATTTTGTGATATTTCAGTTACCAATTAGTGAAATTCGTAAACTTATAAAATAAAGAATTTGTGAATTAAAAGTTGTTTTTCTTTTTATACCTGTCTTTTAAGCATTTTATGAGCAATCGAATAGATTTATTTATCAGACATATGATTTGTTGAGAGTCTCAGTCGAAATATCTAAAAAATGTGTAAGAATTCGAAGGTAACCCGACTTATTTTTCAATTGCCAACATTGTTCGCTGTAGGCGGAAGGTCGTGTTCTTTTTTTCGGTTCGGTAAGGACCACTAGCTATTAGTATAATAGCTCATTTCAAAGGATCTACAAAAGAGGCTGATAAAAGAAACTGCTCAAGTTTTTGGGCATACCAGTGTCGGCAGCGTGTGGTGTAGGTTTACCTTTTGATACTCTCTGGCCGTAAATATTTTATTTATTGAGGTCGTACATGGATAAATCTTTAAAGCATTCCTTATTTTCAAGAAAACTATATGAACGTGCTCTTGCGGTAAGTTAAAAGGAAGCATAGCAGTGCTATCTATATGTACATAATTCCTAAGGAGTTAGCTATCGAGAAGAGAAGCAAAAATATCAATACATCGGCCAACGAGATCGGGCTCACAAAATTATTATGTGCAACCGCAACGAACCGCTTTAACTTTCCGTTTTGAGTGTGTGTAATTATAACGCAGATGCAGTTTGTGTAATTTATACGCTCGTAAAATATAGAAATGTAAATTGCATATGAAAACTATAGAGCAATGGGTATATTTTAGGAACACTTAATGGACCGCCTCTCTCGATAATACAGCTATCATCTAAAGTTGTCATTGGAATGAACTGTTCAATTATTTATAAACGGTGTCCGCTTTCAGTCAAGAAAAAATCGTTTTAGTTATTATTCACTTCTGACGTGACGAGACGTATGGGTTTTTCGTACATTCATTTATAGAATTCTCAATGTCCAAACTTTTGCCATGAAGTGACTATTTTCGATATGATAAGGAAAACACTATTTCCTAAGACAATAACAACAACTTGTTTATGTAACAAATTAATTTAAAATACTATACTTGATATTAAACAATATCAATATCTGATCCCAGACTAGGCGTATCGTAACCAGACTGCTCATAAACAGACTTATATATTTTAAATACATACATATTATAGATAAATTACACCCAGACACAGAACAAATGACCGTGCTCATCACTCAATATTTGTGGGAATCTAACCCACAACTTCTGGCTTAGACCAACGGGGCCGTCAAAATATAATATGCCCGTGAAATACGTGAAATTAGACTTTTTATGGTAAAGAGTGGCAAACAAGCAGACGGGTGGTAAGTAACTACCGCCGCCCATCACCACCTGCAACTCACCAGTAATAACTGCTTTGCCGCCCTTTGACTCCTCCCCCCAAAACTGGGGTGAGGACGAGTTTGGGCTCTGATCACCTCACTCACTCGTTAAAAGCAATGATATAATTCCTTAACACCAGTTTTCTGTAAGGGAAGTGGTGTCACTCCGTTCGAGCTGGCGTATTTGTGCCGGAACATGACATTTTATGGTATTATCACACATTTAGAGACAGTGATTACCTTAGCAAAAAGAGCGCTAGCTGTACCTCAGTGCGACTATTTATACCCTTATATACATATACTGATATGATGTGTGACGTCACTCGTGTTTTTCAACTGCCTTTACCTTACAATACTCGTATACTTAGCCTCGAGGTTTTATCGACATGTTTATATCTTAATGTATCTGAGCTAAGTAGGTTGGCTCCAGATTTGAATAAATAGCTAAAATACTCGTATTAAACGAAATGAAATTTCGAATCTGACAATGTTTCCACGTTGCACTTTAACTGCATCGAAATGCACACGTAAGTAAAACTATATAATACGAGTATATCCTTTAAAAATATGGAAATCAATCTACAAAATTTAATTATTATTGAAATCATTTTTTTGATATTATTAAAGTTGGTTAGAAAGAAGGTCTGGAAGATAAAAGGATGCGACCCGACCAATTTTTACATCTAAACCTTAGAGTTCCTGATTGACGGCAGTAGGCTAGCCCTATTGTGGCAGCGTTTTTTTTAACGGAAGCGGAAAAAACCGGTCAGGTACGAGTCGAACTCATACGCCGAGGGTTCCGTACCTACCCAGATTTTACGTAGATTTTCGCGGAAATTTGTAAGTACCAAAATTTATCTTCATTTCAACTTTTTTTATTTTTTGGAATTATTCCTTTATTTGTGCTATAAGACGTTTCTTTTTGCCAAATTTCGTGATTCTAGGTCAACGGGAACTACCATATATGTAGGTTTTCGACCCAAAACCTATAGGGTACTTCCGGTTGACCTAGAATTGAAAATTTTGGTTGAAAGCAAGGTCTTACAGCACAAGTAAAGAGAAAATTCTGAAAAATAAAAAAAGTTGAAAATTAAGATAAATTTTGGTACTTACAAGTTTTCGCGAAAATCGAAATTTGCCCATATATTTTTATCGTGTTGACCCAGGACCTTGATTTTTATACACCTAATAGGGACCATAGACCTCAGTGTCTGGTATAAATTTCAACTTGCTAGGTCTATCCGTTCCTGAGAAAATCGGTGGTGACACACGGACAGACATACGGACAGACGGACAAGAAAGTGATCTTATAAGGGTTCCTTTTTTACCTTTTGAGGTACGGAACCCTAAAAACGACTCCCGCACTCTGAATGAATAAATCCTGTGTCGCGGGGGAATTTACTAACATACATGAAACGGTCACTAAGAACACTCAGACGCAGAACAACAATTTGTGTATCACACAAAGTGCTATCCCGTGTGGGGATCGAACCCACAACACGCAGCGCCGTAGGAAGCGGCGAGGTGACCGCTTAAACAACCATGCCACTATGGATTATAATTATAAAATAATGGCACAACGTGGTCGTTAAATACGCCTCTATTTACCTCTTCGAGGGGATAGGCGTAAGTACGAGTATATTTATAATACAGCAACAAACTTTATCTTGGCACAAACCCTATACCAACCCGCCTAGCCAGCGTGGTATAGTAAGCGAAAACCTCCTTTCTAAAGAAGTGGATAATAGGCCTCTCTTTAGAAAGGAGTAAACGCTATTGATGATGTTTGTAAAGTATCTTAAACTACTACATGGCGTCTAGTAGAATAAGATAATTAATTAAAACAGTAGAATAATGTAACTCCAAAACACAACTAACACGATAGAACGTAATTCAACTAACTGAGTTAGACTGGTCTTTGTATTGTGCGAACGTGCATTCAAAATAAGGTTATGTGCTAATTGTTCTATGAATCACCCACTGAATGTAATTACGTGAACCTGTACGTATACGGAGTATACTTTTAGTAGAACAATTACATTCGAAGGTAGCAGCGAGATCTGGAACCCGCCTGCTGAAATTAGTATCATCAAAGTGATCTGTCATCAAAGTGTAATTAAAATAGAAGTGTGGTATACTTTTTTTTATTTATTTT